TGTCATTGGGTGATGATGAGAAACCATCCAATGAGAGCATTGCTGTCATTGGGTGATGATGAGAAGCATTGTTGTCATTGGGTGATGATGAGAAGCGTTGTTGTCATTGGGTGATGGTGAGAAACCATCTGATGAGAGCATTGTTGTCATTGGGTGATGATGAGAAACCTTCCAATGAGAGCATTGTTGTCATTGGGTAATGATGATAAACCATGTGATGAGAAGTGTTGTTTTCCTTGGTTGATGATGAAAAATCATGTGATGAGAAAATGCCATTGTTATTGGGTGATAATGACAGTTCTCCCTGGAGCCACATAACGGGTCAAAAAGTAAATTAGCATCGAGTTTTAGCCATATAGGTATATTGACACTTGTAAACTAGGCTAACAAAAAAAAAGGGTTTTCAGAGGCAGTAAACTGCACGGGAAGAGCTGACCCATCTTTCTCCTTCAGAGCAGCTGGTGGATTCAAACCACAATCCTTTACCACTAAGCCACCAGAACTCCCTGGTAACTAACTCATTTATGCTGAAACACAGCACAGAAATTGTATAGACAGTCATTTTGGTTTCAGCCCCCTCTGACTATCACCCGACATGGTCCACTCCCCTGACACCACTCAATAATTCCATGAGGCCCCAGGCAGTAATCTTGTTTTATCAATGAGTAACAGCTACCTGGAGAGTTCTGTTGAGGATTCTGCTCAGCTTGAGAGAATGCGGTAATTGATTAGTGATGTCTGCCGTGGTAGGTGAAATAGAATAATGGTATGAGTGATAAATATTTTCCTTCCTACCTGTTTTACAGACAGCCCTGGAGAGGGAGGAGAGTTGTTTTCTTCCCATGAAACAGACAGGAAGGAAGGAAGTGGAAAGACACCTAGATATTATAAGGAAACCAGTGTTTCTCCATTGCAGTGGTTTTGTGCCGTTGTAATTATTCCTGTTCATAACACCACCATGTGATTGACTAGAACTGGCCTGGAGGGTTTCCTGGGCTGTAATGTTTATGGGAACAGATCACTCCCATTTAATGGGAGGTCTCTTCTGCCTCTAAATGGCTGTGAGTTCAAACTCCTGCCCTTTCTGCTGGCAGCCAAGCTCTCAACTCTTGAGCCACCAAGATTCCTTTGTGACTACATAAGGGTGTTTTTAGCACAGCCATAATTGCAGTTACAATCTTGAGCAAGTCACTTAGCCTCTCCAAGTCTCAGTTTCCTGATCTGTAAACTGGGGATACTGACACCTCACTCACAGAGTTGTTGGAAGGGCAGAGAATGGGAGACACTTAGGGGGTATAAAGTATGAGCAGAGAAGTGTGTGTTCTTGGGAGTGCGTGGTTTTCTCACCTGTGGTTATGGGTGAATCTGTGCCTGTCGTGGGGGAGCGAAGGTGTTCACTGTGTGTGTATGTATGCATGGCATGTGCTCTGATCTGTTTGCTTGCTTATCTGAGTGTGTACCTGTGTAGAAAATGACTCCTTGTAAGGTGTCCTTATAATGTTGTGCATGTGTACTTATGATGTTCTCCTGGTGTGTACATGACTGTGTGCACATGACATGTGTGTAATAAATTCGCCCGGTAATGCATGTTCCCTGGGTGTGTGTAAATATGTCTATATTGTGTGTTTTATACATATGTTGTTATTGTTATGTGCCTTTGAGTCACTTGGGACTGAGAGTGACCCTATATACTATATACTTTACAGCAACCATAAACCCTGCTCTATCTTGTGGCAACCTTATTGTCTCTGACACACCTACCCCCATTACCCCAGTGACTGAATCAATCCATCTATTTATCTATCTATCTATCTATCTATCTATCTATCTATCTATCTATCTATCTCATTGAGGGTCTTCCTTTCTTGTGCTTATACATATACACGTGTGGTATTGTGTTTGCTGAGGGTGTCTGTGTATGCAGAGTGTGTCTCTGAATCTGTGCACATGAGTATGTGATGTGTCCCCCAGGGAGGTCTGTGTCTGTTCCCTGGTGTGTGTGTGTTTGTGTGTGTGTTTGTATAGGTGTGCATCTGGCGGTGACACAGCATTTCCTTATGTTTGCATATTTAGTGACCAGTGATACTCTTCATGTCAAAGTCCCAGGGCATTTCTGGTGCCTGGTGGTTATGAGTGTGTGTGTCTGCACCCACACCTGCCAAGGGTGCCATTTGCTTGTAGACATTTGCCAGCCAAGCTCTCTGGTGACACCTGTGCCTGCCTGGCAGGTGACCAGGGCAATGCTGGTAGAGCTCAGACCTCAGCAGGCAGGCTAAGGGAACCATAAGAGCCCCTTCCCCATCCTCCAGCCCCTTCTGAGTATGAATTTCCTGACACTCCCCATCAACGAATCCTATCCATCCTTGACCCCATTCCCATCAGCAGTGAGACACCCCCTCCCCATTCACTCAAGTAACCAAGCACTGACATGGTGACTGCTTGGTCAAGACAATCCCAGCACGCTTCTCTTTAAGTCCTCTCAACAACCCTATGGGGAGGTTTTAGTATGCCCATTGTGCAGAGAAAAAAAATCTGAGAATCAGGGTTTTCACTGCAGTACTTTCATGGTTTCCTCCCCAGACTGGAGAGCAGTCACACCCTGATTTAGTAGGCAGAGGCCCAGAGATGAAATCACCCAGGCAGTCAGGTTACACCCTGATGATGCTGAAGACAGCAATAATGGCTCATAGTATTAGAATCTATATGTCAGGTTCTGGGACTGCCCTGGGTCCTTCACACGCAGAGTGTCATCGGATCATTGAATCTGCACAGCAAACAAGGAGATGCTTGTCTTGCTTTCAATTTGAATAAGAAAAACTGAAGGGGAATTGATGCCTTTTGGGTTGTGGTGTTGGCAAAGAATATTTAATGTGCCCTGGACTGCCAAAAGAACAAACCAATCTGTTTTGCAAGAAGTGCAGCCAGAGTGCTCCTTTAGACGCAAGGATGGTTGAGACTGGAGCTCACATACTTTGAGCACGTTACCAGGGGGAACCAGTCCTAGAGAAGGGTCATCATGCTTGAAAAGCAGAGGGTCAGAAAAGACAGGAAGACACTCCACAAGATAGATCGATGCAGTGGAGGCAGCAGTAGGCTTCGGTGCCGCGGAGATTGTGAGGGTCGTTCCAGGACCGTCACACGGGGCATCGTTTAGTTCTGTTGTACAGAGTCGTGCATTTTACAGGTGGGGAAACAGGCTTTCTAGAGGTGAAATGTCACACTCCAAATCTCCCCATTTCCTGGGGGTTGAGCTGAGATAGGAAAGCATTAAGGGGGAGTGGGGGTGACAGAAAAGGAGGATTTCATCCATGGCTCTTAATTTGAAGACCGACAATGACTTAGTCACAGGAACTGACATCAGGAGATATCCCACATGTGTGTGTGTATGGGAGGGGAATATTTAATCATTAAATGGCATTGGAAAACCTGAATTAACCATTTTTCCATTTGCAGGACTTGTCAGGGCCTTTAATATCCTGAGGTGTGTTGTGAATCCTTGACAGAGGGATAGTGAAGGGTTTCCTAATTTATTTATTCCCTGAGTCCAACTTGTCTGGAACCTTTTGGGTAGTGGGTTCAGCATGGCACAGCTCACTGAAAGGTTGGCAGTTCAAATCCCCCAGATGCTCAGCGAGAGAAAAATGAAGCAGTCTGCCTCAGTAAAGATTTACAGCCTAAACACCTTACTGGAGGTGTGGTTCTGCTCCATCCCTTAAGGTCACCACGACTCAGGATTCACCGGATGGCTGTGGGTTGGGGGTCTAGTGACCATGAGAGAGGTGAGAAGCTGTTTGGAGACAAGCCTCTACCTGCCGAGGACCTGTGTGGGGACATGAAGGATCGGCACCCGGATCAGGGCGCAGCGTCCAGAGACGCTGCTGGTCCTCCCTGATGATTGTCCTAGATGACAGAAACTGACACAAAGGGGTCAAGATGTGACCAGCATCACAGCAGGAGCCACAACAGGGTCAACCTGAATCCCCTGAACTCCTGGCCTGGGGACTAGAATCCAGCTGGGCCCCTTTTCTTCCCGCAGGGTCCCCGCGCTACCAGTGAAGAACTTGAATGGGACTGGGCCAGTCCACCCAGCACTGGCAGGTGAGGTCCACCAGGGGATGGGTGAGTCCAGAAGGAGGCAGCCCATCTGTCATCTCAGGACTCCACGTAGTGGGTGTGGCCTGGAGAAAAGGCACCCTGCCATTGGGCCTCCTGCAACCAGGGGGTGGGACCCTGGGGCTGGTGGGCAGACCCAGGGAGGTCCCTCTCTCACCATCTGCTAGCATATATACAGAGTGCCTTGGGATTTTGAGGCATGACCAGGTGGGCGGGGCCTAGTGGAAGAACCTGGTCAGTCCAAATAATAGAAGGGGCGTGGTCACTGTGGGCGTGGCCCACTACCTACTCCTCCCTGATGCTCCGCCTCCTCCAGGGATGACAGGGATTCTGCTGTGTGCGGCTGGGCTGCCTGTGTGCCTGACACGGGCCCCCAAGCCCATCCTGCACCCACCACCTGTGAGCAAGAGTGATGTCAAGCCTGTACCCGGTGTACCCGGAGTGTGTCGCAAGACCAAGAAGAAGCACCTCAAAAAGAGTAGGCCTCCCTTGCCTGACATCTGATCCGAGAACCTCACACCTTTCCAAGTCCAGTTCACCCTTCTCATGCCTCTTCCAATATTCAAACCCCATCAACTTCCACTAGAGGATATTCTGTCAAATATCCAGTCATCACACACACACACCCTTGCCAAGTCTGACCCCTACCGCCCCTAGCCTCACCTGATTCTGACCCTGTCTTGAATCAAGCCCATCCCCCTCTGTCCCTACAGGTAAGAACCCGGAGGACGTGGTTCGAAGGTACATGCAGAAAGTGAAGAACCCACCTGATGAGGTGAGCGTGGGAGGGCGGGGCCAAGGTGGCAGCTGCAGCCCAGCCCCCACCTCTGTCCAGTGATTCAAAATTCCGTTGGCGGTTGGACTCCACTTAGAGATGCCTCACAAGAAAGGCCTGGCAATCTACTTTCTAAAAGTGACAGCCCTTGTGAAAGCCTTGGGGAGGCCATTTCTGCTCCCGTGCGCATGAGGTCACCGTGAACTGGAATCAGCTCGTGGCACCTGGTTTTGTTTTGGGGGTTTTCAGTGTGTTGACAAAGGGCCCTAAGGGGGCATTGTGGTTAAAATAGCCAACAGTTCTAACCCACCAGCTGCTTTGGGGCAGAAAGATGTAACAGTCTGCTTCTGTAAATAGTCACAGCCCTTTGCCTTTCTGTAAGATGTCTTTCGATGAACATACGTGCTTAGGTTTCATATAATATTTATCTGTTTGATGTCTAATGATTTTGTGTCATGTCTGACATTCTTCTCTATTCTGTGGTCGCAGTACTGTCACTCGTATTTTATCAAATAGTATCAAGTTTTGTTCCCAATATTGAAGTCTTGAGTCCATCTGGAGGGTGGTAGGGTGTCAGAGAGCCATGTCAGAGAGCCATTCCCCTGCCATATGTTCTTGTTCAGGATGTGGGGAAAGCCTCTTCTCCCTGTAAGGAGCCCCATTGGTAGAGTGGTTAAGCCTGGACGGCTCACCATCAGGGCAACGATTCGAACCCAACCCAGGGTCGTAGGAAAGCTGTGGCAGTCAGCTTCTGTGACTATTACGTTCCAATAGACGCTGGGATCGTTTATGCCGTCCTTTGGGATCACTGTAAGGCAGAATTGAGATGAGGACGGTGGATTCTTCTCCCTTTGACAAATGAGGGACGGCGGAATCTACTGTCCTTGGCTGGGAACACAGAAACCCAGTCCCATGATGACCAAGGGTGTCGGCTCCATCTCCATCCTCACCCACAGGACTGCACCATCTGCATGGAGAGACTGGTCACAGCTTCAGGCTATGAGGGTGTGCTGAGACACAAGGGCGTGCGGCCCGAACTGGTGGGCCGCCTGGGCCGCTGTGGCCACATGTACCACCTGCTGTGCCTCGTGGCGATGTATTCCAATGGCAACAAGGTGTGATGGGTGGCAGGGGCAGGGCTTGAGCTGGTGAGGGTGGGGGCATAAGCAGGATGGGGCGGAGCTTAAGATGCAGGGGCGGGACATACATGGGGTGGGGCGGAGCTTGCACTATCAGGGACAGGGCTTGCTCTGGTGGGGCATGAGTGGAGTGGGGCAAGACTTGCTCTTCAGGGGCAGGGCATAAGCAAGGGTGGGCGAAGCTTGGGCAATCAGGGACAGGGCTTGATCCCTGGGGACAGGGTATAACTTGAGCTTCAGGGGCGGGGCATGAGCTAGGTGGGCGGAGCGTGACTTGTGCTTCAGGGGCAAGGCATGAATGGGGTGGGCGGGGCTTGGGCAATCAGACAGGGCTTGATCTGGTGGGGGGGTGGAGTATGTCTTGAGCTTCAGGGGCGGGGCATGAACTAGGTGGGCGGGGCTTTGTTATAGTGAGGTGGGTCATGAGTGGGATGGGCGGGGCTTGGGCAATCAGGGACAGGGCTTGATCTGGTGGGGGCGTGGCATGAGCGGGGAGGGCGGGGCCTGAACTCCAGGGGTGGAACTTGGGCTTGTTGAGAGATGTGAGTAGGATGGAGCAGGGCCTGAGTGTGTCCTCATCCCCCGCTCCCAGGACGGCAGCCTGCAGTGCCCCACATGCAAGGCTATCTACGGGGAAAAGACAGGGACCCAGCCACCCGGGAAGATGGAGTTCCACCTCATCCCCCACTCGCTGCCTGGCTTCGCAGACACCCAGACCATCCGGATTGTCTACGACATCCCCACAGGCATCCAGGTGAGCTCCTGCTCAGCTCAGACATCCACCTCCCACCTCCTCAATCCAGCTGTGGACCTCACGGGGTGTCCTCTTCACACAGGGACCCGAGCACCCCAACCCAGGCAAGAAGTTTACGGCAAGAGGTTTCCCGCGGCACTGTTACCTGCCCAACAATGAGAAGGGCCGGAAGGTGGGTGTCCTGGGTTCGGTGGTGGTGCTGCTGGGACCCCTTGGTCCTCAATTTCTGCCCTCACATATCTCCGCTTCAGTGACACAACCCCTTAACCTTATCAGGCACCCTCCTCTCCATTACCACCTGCTGAGGTGAGAGAATTCTAACTCCGAAGGGTTAACTCCAAAGTTGGTACCTGACTGGCAGTTCAGATCCACCAGCAGTTCAAAGGGAGAAAGATGGGCATTCTCCTCCCAGGTGATTTACAGCCTCTGAAAACTCCCTGAAGGGTCAGCTGTGAGTCATTTCCAACTCCATAGCCATCAGTGATTACAGACATAAGTACAAAGCCCCAGATGGGACGAGCAGCCTGCCTGGGGTCACACAGTCAGGAAGTGGTGGAGCTGACATTTAAACTCCAGGCATCCAGGCTCTTGACCCCTCCGTAGAGTGGCTACTTTTTATCTGTGTCTCAAGAGGAGCCAGAAAGCTGGATTTTCATGCAGAATCTCCAGGTTGTGTCTTTGTAATGCAGTGCGATGGCCAGACCAAACATACTTGAGGGTACCAGTGTAAGAGTCTCCCTTCCTTCCCCGAAGATCTGGGCAGAAAATGTGGAAAGAGCTTTTACTGAGGGGGCCTCAGACCAACAATTGCCCAGAGAATGCAAACGGGAGGAAGTGGCTGAGCTAGGCAGCGCAAGGAGGGGATTCTTCAGTGCTTAGGAGATGCACATAGCTAATGCTGGTATACCATTCAGAGGCTGCAGTTTGCCCTAAAGTGCCTCAGAAGAAAGGTCTGGTGATCTGCTTCACAAGTAAAACAACGGCCTTGGAAAACCTTATTCATGCACTTGATTCTGCCAGGGACAGGATGCAATTCAGTGGCAGTCAGTCCCAATGTGTCATCAAGTCATTTCTGACTCACATCAAGTCTCTAGGACAGAATAGAAATGCCCTGTAGGGTTCCCCAGCCTGTAATCTTTGTGGGATCAGGTCTTTTCTCTCACTGAGCTGCTGGGTAGGTTCAAACTCCAGACCTTTTGGTGATCAGCATAAGTGTGACCAGTGCGCCACCAGGGATCCTTTTAGTGAAGTGTTGACAGTCAAAAAGTGGGCAGGGCTGAATGCAAGCTGCAAGTGTCCTGGGCTGAGCTCAAGAGACACGCCCGTGGTGGGTGGGACCTTGTGACCACGCCCCTGGGCTGAGCTCAAGAACCACACCCTGGGGGTGGGACTCTGACCAATCCCTGGGTGGAGTTTAAATGACCCCGCCCTCCCGTGGGCGGTGCTGTTTTTGCCACACCCCCTGGGCGGCGCCGAGTAGCCCTGCCTCTGATTAGTTGCCTGTTGTCACGCCCCCTGGGCGGGGCTGCCCGTGATCACGCCCCACGCTGCCTTCCAGGTTCTGAGGTTGCTCATCACCGCGTGGGAGCGGAGACTCATCTTCACCATCGGCACGTCCAACACGACCGGCGAGTCAGACACCGTGGTGTGGAACGAGATCCACCACAAGACCGAGTTTGGGTCCAACCTCACGGGCCACGGCTACCCGGATGCCAGCTATCTAGACAACGTGCTGGCTGAGCTCACAGCCCAGGGCGTGTCTGAGGCTCCGGCCAAGGCCTGAGGCTGCCCACCTTCCCTGCTGCTTTACCCCTGGTCCGGTCCTCGCCAGCCTCCCTCCGCTGGGGTGGAAGGCTTGAATGAGAGAGGCCTGCTGGCCCGGGTTCAGGCCTGGGGAGGAGCCTGCAGATCTGTCAGGAAACCAGAATGGGTCAGGGGGTTTGGCTGGTGGCAGCTGAGATAGCAGGAGGACGTGAGGCCAGCCACCTCCGATCCATACACCAGGCGACGGCCACAGAGAGAGAGTTCCAGAAACCACAGTGACCTCCCTACCTAAAAGTCAGAGACCCACCCCCTCACACACTCACGTGTCCTGTTGAACACATGCACGCACACACACGTGCCTCTACTTACCCCACCAGCTGGGGGAAAGAGACGAGAAGACCCCCCCGAGGTACCCACGTGGAGCCCCACCTGTGTGGATCACACCTGTACAGACTCAATAGCAGAGTGTTCAGCTCAGACACTTTGGGCCAGCTGGGGCCTCTGGGGGAGGGGCCTGAGACGCCCCATCGCCCACCCCCGTGCCTCACCTAACCTTGTATCATCATTCATCTCTGCCAGCCACCATTGGGCAGGCCTGAAAATGATGAGCGGTTTTGCAAAGGGATCAGCAGAGGGCGGGAGAGGACTAGAAGTATCTTTTTTTTTTTTTGTGCTTGTGTCTCTACATCCTTCTGAGAACTGACCTCTTTCCTCCTCCCTCTCCTGGCCGTACTATCTGTCCCAGGTAAAGGCACTTTCTCTCCCTTCCCTGCCCCACCCTCTCTACCAGATCGCTCCCAACTTTCAGATCCCAAGGCTGGAGCGCGCTTCAGAGTAGAGCAGACAGCAAAGAGTCAATTTCACTTTTCTTGGGAGTGGGCAGTGGGATGGCTGATAGTCTCCGGCCAACCAGGGGCCCGTTGCCCAGGCAACTCACCAGCTCCGCCTCTGTTGATTGGCTGCCTCGGTGGAAGTCAGCCAGGATTTAAAGGGACGCCAGCGATTGCTCTTTTGAAAAACCTACCAGTCCCACTGTGGGTGGAGAAATAAAAGGTCTTTCTCCTCCTCACTCAGTGTTTTCCTGCCAGGAGGGGGTTAGGACTCTGTTCCTGGGATTCCATGGAGAAGTGATGGGTTACAATCAAACGTTCATCCCAAGGCTGCTGCCGTACAACCTTGGACAATCAGAAAGGAAGCCATAAGGGTCCCCACCATTCTCTCTTCCTGGGACAGAGAACCTACAGGTTTTCCTGTCCCAATTTCCAAGAAGTGCAAATGAAATTCTCAAACCCAAGGTGTGGCACACAGCTGTAACTCAGGCTCAGAACTGAGAAAATGCAGACATGAAAGACACCCGTGCCCTTAGGAAGGGACAGATTCTAGAGAAAGTCAGGGGTAGACTGGGGTCTGCCATTCTCAAAGCTGCTGAAACTGGTTGCCAGGGTTACTGTGGAGGATGCTGTGGCTCCAGCCGCCACCTGCTGGTCACTGACGGCATTGCACCACATCCTGGCCCACTATACCATCCTCTGGTTAGGTGCCCTCCAGTCGATTAAGACTCTTATGAACAGTGGCTCTGAATCTTGCTGTACTTTGAGCCAACCTCACCGTCTCCAACACCTGATTCCTTGCCTCGGTCACTCTTTCAATCTATCTCATCCAAGCTCTTCCTCTCTTTGCGCTGACCATTCCACCCTTCCAAGCATGACATCCTTCCCCAAGAATCGGTCCCTTCTGATAATATGCTCAAAGTATGTGAGACAGAGTTTCAAACTCCTTGCCTCCAAGGAGCAACCTGGTTTCACACTCCCCAGGACGTACCTGTTTGTTCTCTTGGCAGTCCATGGTATGTTCAATACTCTTCTCCAGCACCACAGCTCAAAGGCATTGATTGATTTTGCCATCCTTAGTCACTGTCCAGCTCTCAGATACATAGCAAGTTGCTGAGGAGATCATGGCTTGGATCGGGCACACCTTAGTCTTTAGACTGACATTATTGCTCTTTAGCAGTCTGGAGAGGTCCTTGACATATTTTCCCAATACAATTCATCTTTTGATTTCCTGGCTGCTGGTGCCTCCTCTCTAGTCAACACAAATCTGCAGGTTGGATCCCGTTCAAGCTGGTTTTTCCTGAACATTCTACCTTTTGTGGGTCATTCTCAAGAAAAACCCTAATATATAAAATTGCCCACTCCCCAACCATCTAATTCTCAATCCTAATGGCCATCCATCTTCTCTGCGGAACTTGCAAGTATATCCCCACCCCACGTCTGAGAAATCGCTTCCTAGTTCAAGGCGCTTTGGTGAAACCCATTTTAAGAACTGCACAACTTAATTCGCCAAAATAAAAGGGGGAGGTATTTGTCCAAAGGCTGGGTGCAGGGGATTACAGGGACTGGCAGACATGAACACAGGAAGGGTTGAGCCCATTTAGTGTCTGAGAAAACATGGTCACATAGGATTCAGGTATAGCTGTATCCAGCAGCTCAGAGCCAGCTTGGCTTTTTGGTGCCATTAGAGGTTACCTGGGTGAAACAGAAGCTTCAAGCTCAAATAAGTCAGGTTTCTTATCCATCCACCCCAGTCCACCACACCCCAGAGGGTGAGGATCATTCAGTGCAGTACCGCCCCACCCCCCAACCTGAGGCCCGCTCTGTCCCTGGTTCCAGGCTCTGAGACTAGGCACATCGCTGCGAGCCTCTGAGTCACAGCATCAGTGTGGAACAGCACACGTCCCCTGGGTAAGGGCCCGACAGCTCCTTGCTCCAGGCTGTCTGGTGGTTCAGGGCCCGAGACGCCGGGAGGCAGCCTGGTCCCACTCCCGCTTCTGGAACTCCTCGTGGGCTTGATCCAGGTCTGCAAGCACGTCCAGCAGGCGGGCGGCCGCTGCTTTCTGCTGGGCCAGGGCATCCAGACAGTGTCCTGGGAGGGAGACGTGGGATCATCAGAATCATCACCAAACAGTCCATTGCGCCTGGGCTATGGCAAGGTCCCCCTGGCTCAGCAAGGTCCCCAAAGTCCTCTAGTCTCCCTCACAATAAAACTACAGCAAAGTAGTAGGCTTGGTCAAGTTTCAGAGGGTCCATGAAAAAAGACCAAAAAAAGAAAAAAGAATGACCCTTAACCAGATAGACTGACACCATGGCTGCAGTAATGGACTTCAGGCACAGCAGATTGTGAGGTTGGCCCAGGACACAGCAGGGGTTCTGTGAATCAGAGCCGACCTGATGGCATTTAACAACAGCAATCCTTAACTGGACCACAGTGCCCAGGCCACACACAGATCCCGCAGCCACGACAGACTGGAAGGGAGAAAAGCTGTGGTTGGGGAGTGGCAAAGAAAAGGCGTCTGTCTCCTCAGCCGGTACCTTCCGTGACACCGGGGCCCTTCTCTGCGTCTGCATCCAGAACTGGATCCATGACACAATCCTCCAGGAATTTCATCCTGGAAGTGGAGAGGGAGAAAGTCAAGGCCTGGCTTCCAATGCTGCCCACTTCCACTCCTGGCTGCAGGTGAGATCTCTCCCTCCTTGTTCTCATCACCTCAGCAGAGATTACTGTTCAGTGCCAGCCTCTACTGTAAGCCCTATTCAGGAATTAATTCATCCCTTTATCGCTATAAACCTTATTAGCTCCATTGAGATGCAGAGAGGTAAAGTATCTTGTCCAACGTCATACAGCGTAATAATTATAATAACATTGAGTATCTTTGAGTTGATTTCAATTCGTAGCAACTCCATGTGACAGACTTGAACTGTGCCCCTAGACTAGGCTGTATGTAGTCTCTACAGGAGCAGGTCTGCAGGTCTCAAACCACCAACCTTTTGGTTAGCAGCTAAGCATTTAGCCATTGTGCTAAGTAAAAAGTACCTCTGGATGGGCACCTACAAAGCTTTACCTGTATTAGTTCATTGGCTCCTGCTTTACAAGGTAGGTGATATTATTATCCCCATTTCCCAGATGAAGAAAATGAGGCACAGAGATGTTAGCAACTTGTTAAGATGACACAGCCAATAAGTAGGATGGGAACCCAGGCAAGCCAACTACACTGAATAATGGGGATCCTGAGGCCAGGAGAGGGACACGTCCAAGGTCACACAGAAAGCTCAGGGCTCAGGACTGGGCTGAATGGTGGTTATGTCTCTGGAGCCCTGGTATTATTATACCTGAGAGGCTGTCGAGTCCTGCTTCTCTGAACACTCAGTCCTTGCCCCGGACCGGGCATCAGAGGCCCAGCTGAAACTCGGAAGGATGGGGGTTAAAAGGGGTGGGTGACCTAGTTGGCCACAGGGTGACGTAGGCCAGGGGAGGGCACCCACCTGAGCTGGTCCCTCCCCAGGAGAAGCTGTCGGTACACCATTTGGGTCTCCGCATCGGGATCCAGAGGGTCGCTCCAGTCTCCCAGGGTGACTGCTGAGTGTGTGCGGCTGCAGCCAGCGGCTGAGGGGGAACCAGGCACTGTTGGTGACCCCCCTCACCCTCCCCTTGTGGAACGGCAACTGCCAAGCTCTGTTCCTTCTGCCTCTGAAATGTCTCCAAATCTACCACTTCCCTGCGGTCACGCTTCACCTTGACCTTGAACTTCAGCCTCATATCCATCACCCAGAACCTTCCCAGCCCTCCAGCCCACTCTCTCTCACCTCCACACTGACTACTTGGCCTAAAACACTCTCCCTTTCCCCAGCCCTGTCCCTGATTTTGCTGCTCAGGGCCTGCTTTTCTCTGGTACATTTGAGCAGCACCTCCTCCAGGAAGCCCACCAAGATTCCTCACTTTGAGGCTGGCTCAGAGACACCCTCTGGAGGCTCAGAGGCCTCTTCCTTTAAAACATTATTATAGTTGTCTAGTTGTGCCCTTGAAAACGGGCATGATGTCTGCCCACTCACCACTACATACAACCGACTCATAGCTGACCCCTCAGTGAGTTTCCAGAGGCAGTAAATCACATGAAGGGAGATGGCCCATCCTTCTCGCTTGCATCAGCTGGTGGATTTGAACTGTGTACCTTTGGGTTGGCAGTACGGCTCCTTACCACTAATCACGTGATAGGTACATCAATCATGCTGAATGGACAAGCATTATGAGCCAAGCAGTGTTTTAGTGTCACTGCATACGAACTCACTGAATCCTCAAAACAAGCCTATAAGGCAAATACTACTATCCGCTGTGATCCAGCCCACAGTGACCCCGCCGGGCAGAGCGCCCACAGGGTTCCCACGGCTGTGGATTCTAACAGAAGCGGACTGCCTTGTTTCCGTTCAGGAGAATGGTGGCTTCGAATCCTTCACCTTTCAGTGAGCAGATAAGTGTTTAACCACTGAATCGCCAGGGGTCCTTAAGGACCATCCAAATCCACTGCTTTCGGGTCAATCCCAATCCACAGTGATCCCTTTATAGGTTTCTGAGACTGTAAATCTTTTAGGAGAGGAGATGGTCTAGCTTCCTCTTTCAGAGCAGCAGGGGGTTTTGAACCACTGACCTACTGGTTAGAAGCCCAATACACTAGGCACTAGGCCACCAGGGCTCCTTTAAGTCCTGCTAGCAACCTCACTTCACAGTAGTGGAGACTGAGGCATAGAAGGCAACTAAATTGCCCCAGGGAGCTCTGGTAACCTGGTGGTAAGAAGCAGCAATGCCATCCCAAAGCTTTGTGGTTCGAATTCACCTGCCGCTCTACAGGAAAAGGGTGGACAGTCTCCTCTCATGCGATTTATTGCCTCTGAAAACCTGCCAGAGCGTCAGCTCTGAGTCCGTTCCAACTGAAAGGCAGACACCAACAATGATTTGCCCCAAATTACATAGCCAGCTCCAGAAGGAAGGTGGGAAGGCACTGATTGACAGGTGGGGAGGCGGGGCCTGCAGCCCGCCCCGCCCCCTCACCTGAGCGCTTGGCCTGGAGGCAGCAGGTCCAGCGCGCCCCACGGAAGGCACCTGGGTGGCAGGCGGCCAGCTTGTCCGGGTTGGGGGCGCTGGCCTTGCGCAGGGCCGACAGCCACTGGTTCAGCTCATTCACGTTCTGCAGGAAACGAGGTGAGGGTGTCTGTCAGAGGGGAGGGTGGGAGCCCAGGGGTGCCCACTCCAGGCCCGATCGCGGCCTCCTCACCTTACACTGGAGGTAGATGGTGTGCAGCGTCCCCGCCCCGTCCTGCGTCACCACCTGCATCACGTGCGGCAGCTGGAAGGCGCCCTCGTCCACGCGCTCCACAGCACGGATGTGGGACACGGGGATGGAGGAGCGCACCTGGGGACAGGACAGCCATGGCCTGGGGCCTTAGAGACAGCTTTGTGGGTGCCCCAGGGTATCCCCGAGGACGGGACATACAACCAGCCTCTGTACGGTGGGACCTAGAGCTCTGTCTGTCCACACTGGAGGCCCTAGTCCCTCCCCATTCCTCTGAGCACGTGACAGCTTCTCCAGGCCTCAGTTTCAAACAGAAAAGAAAAAAAAAGCTCACTGTCCTCCAGTGATTTGGACTTACAGGGCAGGGTGGAGCAGCCCTATGGGGTTTCCAGGGCTGTAAGATTTACAGCCTCCGAAGCCCATGGAGAATCGCCATGGCCCAGAATCACCTGGAGGCTGTGCCCAACTTCGGGTCACCAGCTGAGCTGCTTCCACGGCTGTGCCACCAAGGCTGCCATAGCAACCCAAGTGACAGCGTACACCGGGCCCGGAGGGGCCTCTGCCTCCCCCTGGAAGCCCCTGCGCGGTGGGCTGGGCCCCACCTGCCACTCCGGACTCTTGGAGTAGGTCAGGGTCTCCCCGTTCAGCCAGAAGTAGCGCTTCTTGAAGGCAAAGCGTGTGGCCAGGCCGGCGGGCTCCTCCTTGCGCTTCAGCAGGAAACCTTCCCGGACCGTCACCGAGGGCGCCACCAGGGCCCTGGCTGGACCAGCAGCCTCTGGGAAAAGGGGGAGCGACAGTCAGCCCTCCCTGCCCAGGCTCCACTGCCCCGTCAGCAGGCCCAGTGCCCCATGGACCTGCTTAAGTCTCTCCCTCCTGCAGCCAGGATGGGCATGATGGCCTTTGGGGGGGCACCTACTCTACTGAACCTACCCTTGGGATAACCCAACAGAGGGTCACCGTGAGTCGGACTCAACACCATGCCAGTGGATTTGCCACCGGTGCAACCCCAGCTCTGCTGGAAAACATCCAAGACTCCCTTTTCACCACAAGTACCAATAACCTGACGAAACAAACCCTCAGCTACATCAGGTCGAGTCCCATTCACAGCAACCCTGTAGAACAGAGTCGAATCGCCCCACAAGGTTGCCAAGACTGGAATCTACAGAAGCAGGCTGCCAATCTTCCCCCTGCGGAGTTGATGGTATGTTCAAACTACCAAGCTTTCAGATAGCAGCCCAAAACCTCAGGGTCGTGTTGACTGACTGCGCCCTATGGCTGGACCCCGCCCACAAGCCATCATTGGCTGCAGTGACCTAGAGGGCGGGATCTGAGCCCTGTCCATCTTGAAGGCCGAGGACTGCCCTGGTGTTAGGTGTGACTGACCTTGACCCATCACGACCACATGAACCACAGATCAGAACCCTGTCCTATCCTGTGCCATCCTCACAATCTGACACACTAGAACCCACTGGTGAAGTCACAGTGTCAATCCCTGACCCTCCACCCTTCCAAGCATGATATCTTTTCCCAAGGAATAGCCTCTCTTAACAACATGCCCAAAGCATGTGAGAAGAAGACCTCTCAGAATCACACAAAACTTGCTTTTCCGTCAGAGCCGGCCCATAGCTGGCCCTCCAGAGGCGTTTTCAGAGGTTGAAGCCACCGGTAGACTCAAACTGGCCACCTTTAGTTAGGCGTGCAGCTCTACCAGCTGCGCCACCAGAGCCCCCTGAGAACCGTTAGCTGAGTCCATATCCTCAGTGCTGGGAAGACGAGGAGGGAGGTCCTGGGGCTTAGTGAGTGACAAGTCAGGTGGGCAGTGCCCGGGAACTCACCCCCTTCCTCTTCCACGTCCACCAGCCGGTCCAGGAAGTCCCTCACTCTGGAGATACTCTGCAGCAGAAAAGGGTGCAGGGGGGCCATCCACAGCTCCTTGCCCCGGCCTAGCTGCTGGCCCAGGTTACCGATGCTCTGAACAGCCTGGAGCAGAGGGCAGGGAATACCAAGGTCAAAGTCACTGCAGGAAACAGGGCCAATGGAGGGGAAGTCTCCTGTGAACCCCCAACAGAGTCTCCAACTCTTGGCTCGCAAGTCCATCCTCAACAAAAGACCCAAAGCAGAGCCCACCTTGGGAAATAGATCACTCCCTTTATCTTTTGGAAACTTCACCTCCATTGCTCTTATCTTTTGCAACCCCCACCCATGCCTAGATCTTCTCACCCAGAACCACACAATCCTATCATGAAAACTCTTGAGCCCATAAGAACTTCATGATGTCACATTGCAAAGGACTAATTCATACTAAAGTGTAAATGACTGTCTGGCTTTGCTGCTGGAAGCGTAAATTGCAAGAGGACGCTGGGAAGCATGATGACTGCCTTCACCCTCCAGGTGGAGCGCTCATGGTGGGGCTTCACATGGGTAAAGGCAGTATGGTGGGTCTGGCCTCCCAGCTTTGTTTCTGCCATGGTCACTCCTGGCTGAGGGCTTCCAGGATGGGGGCCTCCATTGCAGACACCTTGGCGAGCAGCAGCAGTGAGCGGCTGGTCTGGGGGTCCGCGTGGTGGTCTCTGAGGTCAAACAGCTTTGGAGTGAGGATGGCTGGTGCAAAGAATCGCAGGAAGAGGAAGCCGCTGATGGCCAGGTACTTCACGTCCTGCCGGGAGAAGCCGCAGGTGAGAGCGGACCCCCAACACCCACTTCCCAGGTGGGCAAACAGAGGCAGCAGGCGCCAGGGGAAGGAGAAAGCAAGGAGACAGAAGACCCTCCTGGCCAGGCAAAGACCAGCTGTGTGCACTTGGAAATCTATTTTCTCTTCGGGGCCTCCTGTCATCCCCATTTTACAGATGAAGAAACTGAGGCTCAGCATGAATTCAGTGCAACCTCTGCCTTCTACAAACTGTGGAGTCTGGCGCTCCTCAGTGGGAGATGAGTTCCCTTAGCTCCAGCAGAGGGGGCTCCTGAAGAGGGGGCTCCTCCTCTTGGGCGCATCTGGCACCCCAGCAATGGCTCCCCACCCACCTCTCACACTCTTTCGCTATATTTAGCCTGAAAATGCACTCCTGGGCTTTTTTTAAGGGTTGTATTCACACTTGAGACAATACCCTCCCCTGGGTGTGTGCCAGCTTCCTGGGGCACCTCAGCCTTGGCAGCAAGCACCTCCAGGAGTCCCTGGAGCTGCCAGGGGGAGGGTCTAGACCCCTCAACCCTCTCATAGCTCCCCCTGAACCCTGAAGTTCCCCCCGAGGCCACCGCCCACTCCCCCAGCCAGGTGCCAGGGTGAATTCTGCCTCTGTCATTAGCTCATTTACTATCTCCTCTCTCTGGGGGGAAACAGGTGTCGGAGCTGCACAGAGGGGATCCCCTGCATTCCCCAGGCCTCACCCACCCTGGTGAGCCTAGAAAGTCCCAGCTTCCTTCCTAGAGGAAGCTGCGAACTGGGGGACACTGGATGTCCCCAATACTGTCTCTCCCACCAGACCTGGGCTGTCGAGGAGCCCTCTAGCCTTCCTTCCTCCCAACCACAGCTGTGCCCCACTTAACGCCTCTGCTTGCATCTCAGGTGAGAGGGAAAAGCATGGTGTAAATCAAGGCCTGCTTCAGCCTGGAGCCCAGCATGTGCTCCTGCGGGTGGGAGGAGGTGCTGGGGAGAGAGACCTCTCAGCCAGAGCTGGGAAACTGACCCCTCACCTGCCCCAGCCTCAGGTTCCCATCTATAAAGAAGGTGGGTGGTGTAAATCAAGGCCCTAGGGTTAGGCCATTCCAGAGCCATCACTAAACAGGCTGTATCTTCCCCAGTGCCCTTTGTCCACGAGGACAATGCCAGCCACCTGTGACTAGTGACAGCTACCTCGGTGTGTGGAACATTGAGCCAGGAAGTCTCGAACTGATGGCCCCGGGGGCCAGCCCAATCACACAGGGGTAATGTCAGGCTCACAATGGATTTTTCCAAAAGGTGCATCAAAGCCAATGTTCAAATAGCAAGTTCTCACATAACACCCAGAACGTGGGATTTGCAAACAAAGCCAGAAGCTCTGGCTCCAGGGGACCCTATTCCTACAGAAATAAGGCACCCTGGTGGTAGAGTGGATTAAGTGTGGGATTCCTAACCCAACGGACAGTGGTTTGTATCCACCAGACACTCCAGGGGACAAGGAGGAGAAGGAGGGGACAAAGAGGAGGTGATTTTCTTCTGGAAAGATTTACAGCCTCAGAAACCCTATAGGGCTGTTCTACTCTGTCCTTGAGTCACTACGAGTCCCAGTCAACTCAGTGGCAACAGTCATGTGGTTTCTGTTGGTTTTTTTAAATTCCTACAGGTCAGTAATAGTCTGTAGCTGCCCCACTGAGATGAGCTGCAGGTGCTGCAGTTTGCCACAGTCCTCACCACTCCCTACTGCCCCACACTTCATCTGCTTTCGTCATTTACTTCACCTGCCTGAACATTTACTGCACCTGCCTGAAATCCACAGCATCTGAGTTTTCAAGTCTAGACTCAGGGACTTAGTTTTCTATTTGATTTGGCATGATTCCTCCTGAGCACCTGCCCTGTCCCTGTCTGCTGTTTGTCTGTCTCTTGCTCAATAATCACTGAGACTTACACAGCCTCTCCTTAGGGCCAGATTCTGCACAAGACAGTCCAACATCACCCCTTCCCAGCTGTAAACTCAGCACTCATACTAGTACCTCTAGTGTGAGTGGCTATATTATGATTATTAATTTACTTCTGAGTCTCAGAGCCTCCCAAGAAAACTGCATCCTCTTATTTTTTTTAAGATTTGGGAGAAAGTTTGCAAAGCAAATTGTTTTCTCATTCAACAGTTCCTACACATTTTGCTTTGTGACATTGATTGCAGCCCCCACCGTGTAACAGCACTCTTCCCGCTTCCTACATATGTTTACCGTTTCCATTCACCCTTCCTTTCTACCCCTTCCTGCTCTCTGACTTTTATCCTTGAGGCTGTCCTCACTTCTGGAACAGAACACTTTGGCCCAGGCAGCCTGGATCCTGGTTCCATCCCTGCCTCACCACGTGCCCCTGGACAAGCTGTTGCCCCCACCCCACAGCCTCAGTCTCCCCTCCTGCCCGGCGGGAGCACCTGGCACGCTGTGCTCACCTCATGCTCCGCCTGGGGGAATCGCTCCTCCACACGCCGGTACAGCTGCCTGAAAGCCAGGCGCACGGCAGATGGGCAGCGCTCCACGGACCCCACGATGGCATCCACGATGGGTCCCAAGTAGCCAGTGAGCAGCCCCACGCTGGTCTCCCGCACGTGCTCCTCGGAGGCGGCACCCTTGAAGGAGATCCGCCTGGAAAAGCAAGCAGGACAGCTCAGCTCACAGCACAGCACCTGCTCTACTGTGGTTTGCCACAGACCCCACCACTCCCTATTGCCCTTTGCTCTTCCCAACTTATCCCCACCTCAGAGCCTTTGTACCTGCCGTTCCCTCTGCTGGAAAAACTGTTACTTAAACATCTGTTAAAACTGTTACTTAAACATTTAAGTGTCACCTCTTCAGGGCAGTGGCCCACTGCTCATTGTCACAGTCCCTGGCTGATTGCATCTCCAGTACAGACGTGCCAAACTCACACTCCAACCTCAAGGCCTTTGTGTACGCTGTTCCCTCTGCCCCTCACACTGTTCCAGCAGGTCTTCTACAAGCTCTTGCTCAAATGTGCCTTTCTCTGGGATGCTGGTTGTTGACCCCACTCCTTGTCTGCTGGCACTTCCCAACATTCCCCGGGTTCATTTCCTCTAGCCCACGGATGACCTCCAACCCTTCCTTCTTTACTTAGTGTAAGCTCTGTCTTCCCTGAGAACAGGGCCCTCCGCTTGTCCCCGTCGTGTGCTCAGTGTCTGGCCCAGTGCCTGGCACACAGGAAGTGCTGATAATTACAGGCACAATGCGTTTTATTGTTTTTATAGTTTTATTAAACTAGCTCTGCTAGTTTATGTGTTTTTCACAAATCAAAGCTTGACTGGTCGCAGCCCTGCAGCGGACAAGTCTACCTGGGCCCGTTGTCCAATGGCAGGTGCTCCCTTCGTGTCTGTCTGGTACATTCTGGGCATTCTCACATCTCCAAAACTCACAAAACTACCAAGCCCGTTGCCATAGAGTTGGGAATGACTCACAGGGACCCTCTGGTGGGAGGAACTGCCCAGCGTTTTCTCCCAAGGAGAGGCTAGTGGCTTCAAACTGCTGACCTTATGGTTACCAGTCAAACCTCTTACACACACCATGCCACAAGAACTCCTTAATAAACCACAGCAGAATGGAAACAACTTTTATGTTGTTGTTGTTGTTGTGTACTGTCGAGTCAGAACGGACCCATTGCTGACCCTCCGGCAAGGTTTCAGAGGCAGTTAATTTCTCGGGAAGAGACTGCCCCATCCTTCTCCCGTGTGATATCTTCAGCATATACAACTTTTACATGTGCTGGGAAACAAAGATAAAACCTGCTTGACTCATTTTACTGTCGGACGTGCTCCGCTGGGGTGTTCTGGGACTGAGCCTGCAGTGTCTCTGACGTCTGCCTGGTTTTTGTTTTGACGAATTTGCACGGTTCTTCCTGCGATAACCTTGCTGCTGCCTTCTTTACCTACAGGCTTAGTATGTCTGACAGCTCGCAGACAGCTTCTCTGCAGGGGAGCAGCGTGTGAAACCAATGAGCTAAGCCCTGGATGAAACATCCACGTCAGCTTCTGGAACCTAGATTAATGGAGAGCTCTGGTGGCCTAGTGGTAAGAAGTTGCACTGCAATCCCAAAGGCATGTGGTTCAAATCCACCAGCTGCTCTGTGGGAGAAAGATGGGCAGTCTCCTCACAAGCAATTAACTGCCTCTGAAAACCCACTGTAGGATCAGCTATGGATTGATTCCAAATCTACCACACACAATAACAAGAGACCAATTGATCTGGATTCTCTGTTCCCAAAAGCAACTTCAAATATGGGTTTAGGTAGCCTACTGAGTCCCATTTAACAGATGAAGAAACTGAGGTTCAGAAAGGTTACCTTGCAAAGGAATGGCAGAGTTGAGCTGCTAAAGCCATCACTCCAATGAAGAGCATTTCTCCAGACTCACTGTGTGCTGGGCTTGGCCTGGGGGATGGGCTTGGTCCTCACGCCCCCCCTCCTGAGCCCCCTAACAACCCAGATGGTGGCTATCCTGAGCCCATGTTTCAGGTGAAATAATAGGCCTGGAAGGGGAGAGCTGGGGTTTGAACCCAGGGAGGAGAGCTTCAGAGCCCTGCCCATCATCATTATGCTATGCATGCTCCCTTTCAAGGCTCTGAGGTTGCGTGTGCTCTCCGAGCAGCTGTGGGGCGGGAGCTGGCTCGGCCCACCTGACGAGGCTGCTGGTGGGCACAGGGGGCCTAGGGAGGACTGGGGTGCTGGGCCCCGGGCTCACCGCGTGCGGCCCAGCTCCATCTTGCACGGGTCAAGTTCCATGTACTTCTTCTCGTCAAACACCCGGCTGACCACCGGCTTCAGGACCTCGTGCAGGTAGGGCATACCCACAAGCTGGGGGTGAAGAGTACCATGTGGGCCAGGGCTGGGGGTGAGGCAGGGCTGGGGGTGAGGCAGGGCTGGAACTGGGACAGGGGCACCCCCAAGACACAGGAAGCCAGACTGAGGTCCCACTGGCAGGGGCACAGGTCAATGTGAAACTGGAGTATAGCCAAGATCTTGGGGGGGGCCCCACGGGAGGTCACGACTCTAGACAAGCACCCCAGGCCATCCACCAGGGCCACCTGAGGCTGGCTAAGCACTACACCTCACAAAACACTAGGAAGGCACCCCCCACCCCCAGCTCTTCCCGACCCTTCCCCTCACCTTCATAAACTGCTCCATTGACTTGGACGCCAGTGAGTTAGAACGGAAGAGAGTGTTGGGGTCGGCTGAGAGGATTGGGAGAGAGTATCTGGGTGTGGGGGTTGCTAGGTCAGCTAGCCCCACTCACCCATGATTTTTTCCAGCTCAAGATTTGAAGGAAACCCACGCAGTCGACTCTTGAGGCCCAGAATGGGTAAGCGAGCTGCCTGAGGTCACACAGCTCACAAGCAACAAAATGCAGGGTTTGAGCCCAGGACTGTGCTCCCAGGCTGGCTGGGGTGCATGGGGCAGGGTCCCCACACACACAGCCTCTGCCTGAGTACTCCTCATCCTCCCCAGTAACTCCCAGGAGGTCCCCCCTTACAGGCCCAGCTTGGAGGACAGAGTCTGGGAGTCAGTGGGTAACTCACCCGTCCGGGCCACCTCACGCCGGGTGAGATAGTCAAGAAAGGGCCCAGCCAGGCCCCGGCCCAGAAAAAGCTTCACCAGCTTGGTGGCCAGGTCCTGGCGGCAGTCCCCCAGGGCCAGCTCCTCCAGCATGGCCAGGGGGCTGGCCGTGTCCTCCTGAGCAGGGACAGAGGAGGGAGAAGCAGTCACCTAGGGTCTGAGGCTCCCAGAGACCCTCTGTTCCCAGTGGGGCCATGCACCCGGCACACCCACCTCCGCCGGCCCCAGCGCGGACTCCATGAGCAGCTCCACCAGCGGCTGGTAGTACTGGGAAGGCAGGACCCGATCCTCCACCAGGCGCACCTTCAGCCGCAGCGCCCCCAGGCTTCCCCTGCCCGAGACACAGGTGAGGGAGCATCAGGACACGTGGCCAGGTGTGACTGTTCTTGGTGTGAACACAGATATTTGCAAAAGGGGGCAGGTGTGGACAGATCAGGGGTGAGTGTGGGAAGATGCAACCAATATGAGCAACCTGTCTGGAGGATGGACGGCGTGAGGACGCCAAGAGTGTCATCAGAGTGGACAAGTGCGGAAGAAGCCAAAGTCCCGAGCACAAGCCCACAGTGTGACAGGACACGCTCACACAGGAACTGGTGAGCTGGTGTGGGCACATGCTGTGGTATCCAACACTGGTATTGAATGAATTCATTTGTGCGCTTGCATGTGCGTGCATGGAGTGGCGTGGCGACCGTGTGTGCCGCCTGGGGACGCTGCCAGCGTGGTTCCAGCCTCCCCCCTCCCCTGACCCCACAATTACCCAGCATCCTCCTCAGCTTGGGGAAATGGCAGGAGGCGGAACCAACCGTTGGGTGGGTGGTGCTGCAGGACCTGAGGGGAGAACTCCACCTGTGGGGGCACACGGGCCCTCAGCTGAGCCTGCCTTGCACCCCAATGTGGAAAAGAGTTCACTCAAGGGGGGGTACAATATGGCCTGCTAGGGGGTCGGTCCCTCTGCTTCCCTTCCAGACCCCACTGGCACAGCATTAACGTTGCAGTCCCCACCCCAACCCCAAGTGTTATTTCCTCCTGCTGGACACTGGGGGCTCAGAGAAGGGGTGGCACTGGCTCAAGGTCACACAGCTGCTAGTCAGAGCCAGCATACAGACATGTCTGGACCAGGAGTATTTTCAGCTGGGTTCTGTCAAATCCCATCTATCAAAAGGCATAAGAGTCCAGAGGCCCTCTCGCCCTCTCTTTTCCTCTCTTCTTTATGTAACAGCTTAAGAAAACAAAAAACAAACCCCAAAACTAATTTATGGCATCTGGTGGACTAGTGGTAAGAAGTTGGGTTGCAAACCCAGAGGCACCTGGTTCGAATTCACCAGCTGCTCCGTGAGAGGAGGACGGGCAATCTGCTCTTGTGTGATTTACCGCCTCTGAAAACCCACTGCAGGATCAGCTCTGAGTCGGTTCCAACTTGACAGCAAATAACAAACGCCTACAGGTCAGAGCAGGGCTTCCAGGGCTAGAAATCCTTCCAGACACAGACTGTCTTCTCGTTCTCTTTTGGAGCAGCTAGGATTGAACCACTGACCTTTAACTTAGAAGCCCAATGTTTCACCTACAATTCACCTTTGTCAGGTGCACAGTCCCAAGGTTTCTCGTTTTCTTATGGGCTGCAGAGCTGTGAAACCCTCACTGGCTGTTTCAGGTCATTTGTACTGTCCCCTCTTGCACAAAAGCCCAAGCCCACCAACGGGACCCCCTCCCAGGATGTGGAAAGATCACATTTCGCCTCCCCACTCATCAGCTGGCGGGCATTCTCTGCTTCCACGCATCGAAGTGGCGATGAGCATTGTAACACAACTTTCTGTGTCAACACATGCTTTCGTCTCTCTCTCTCTCTGTTTCTCTCTCTCTCTGTCTCTCTCTCTCGGCCGCACACCTAGGAGTGGGCTAGGTCACGTGCTAAGTCTATATTTAACCTTTTGCCGAACTGCCAGCTGTTTTCCCAAAAGCGGCTACGTCACGTTACAATCCTACCAGCAATGCGTGACTGAATATCTCTTTAATTTGCTCTAATCTTGCCTCCTCCTTATTAAAGAGAAAACAAAACAACAAACAGCCCTGAGTATGCAGCCACTTGCACACCTACTATTTCTGTGAGCGAGGAGGAAAATGCACCCATTTTACAGATGGGGAAAGCTGAGGCTTCTAAGAGCCTAGAGCCCAGTGACTACAGATAATCAGGCTTAGGGTATAAAATCAGGACTCGACTCCTAGCTCTGCTGTTTCTTAGTCATCTGGCCTTGGGCCAATCATGTGACCTCCCTGAATCTCAGTTTCCCTGTCTATTAAGTGGAAATAACATTCCCAGTTTTACAAGGTTGTGGCGTGTGAGGTTCTGCTGAAGAGCACCGGTCAGGTACACGGTCAGCTGGCTGTTCTCGTCCCAGAATGAGAACCGGGGCTCACCCTGGGCCCTTGGGTAGGTCCTTGCCCCTTTGAGAACCTCAGTCTCCACACCTGTACAATGGGCCCGTGGAATGTCATCACCCTAGCCTGGCCAATCTTGGATGCCTGGAGAGCGTAAGGAGGCAGGCTTCACTCCTGCCCATCGCAACATCAGAAGGCTCAGCCTGTGTCCCCTCCCTTCTGGGGGGCCACAGCAGAGGGTGTCAAGGACAGGGCACTCACTCACCATACCCAGGAAGTCATCCTTGCCCACCATGTCCCAGTCCCAGAGCTCCACCCGCAGTGGGGCCGGCGCTCCAGGCGGCTCCCTCAGCTCCAGCACCTCATCCCAGTGTGGGAAGCGTGTCTTCTTAATGATCTGGTGGGCAGGGCATGGTTAGTGAGGGAGAGGGCTGACCTGCCCACCCCAGCACTCCTCCCCTGCCCACTCCCTGCTCACCGAGGTCTCCAAGCTCTGGCTACCCCAAAACACACGTGCGAATGGGTCAGAGGTGCCAGTGATGTCTCGCGGGGCCAGGTCCCTGGGAGAGGCAGAGAGAGGAGTGAGGGAGATAGGCATCTTGGTGAACAAGATCGAGCCAGTGGGGGAGAGACTTCCGGTAGATCGTTCAAATGTGTCTGGTTTGCCAGGTAACGACCTGCTCCTTGGTATGAAGCTGGTGAGGGTACCATCAGCATGCCTGTCCAGACCTAGTATTTTTCCTGGTGCTTCATTCACCTCTGTTCTGGGAGGGTCATGAACCCCCACACTGCTATGGGGTGGTCCTAATGCACCTTCCAAATGGGTCTCTGAGGCTATGGGTCACAGGGGAGACCGCCCATCTCTCCCTCACTCGAATCACCTAAGAGACGCAGCATGTGGGTTACTTAGCTGCACGACTCATTCTGGACAGTCCACCAGCTCCCTATAAGGAGGCACTAATAGACCTGTATGTTCCAAATGAGGAAACTGAGGCACAGAAAATCAAGTCCTGCATGGACGGAGGGCACCCTAGTGCCCCTGGACAGGAGACTGGATACCAGGCTGCACAATCCTGGGAGATATCGTACGTATCACCTCTCTGAGCCTCAGTTTTCCTCATCTGGAAAATGGAGTGACAACAGACCAAACCCATGGGGCAAAAGTTAAACACAAAGAGGTGTACGAAGGTGGATACCCAGAAGATAGTAAGCGCTCAGCTCATTCGTTTATTTAAAAAGCACAGCCTTATCCCCTGCCTGGGGCTCGAGAAAAGGCACGAGGTAGGAACCTTCTAATTCTAGTTGCCATGACAACTTAAAAAACCCCAGTCAGCCTCCCCCACCCTTCATTCCTGAGATCCCCAAGTCCAAGGACACCCCCTTCCTCAAGCATCCTGTATCTTCCTTCCTTCCGCTCGTCTCCCAGCCCTGCTTGGCATCCAGAGCTTGGCTTGGTTTCCTAGGAGCCAGCCCAGTTGCTAAGCGACAGCCATCAGTCCCACTCCAGTCTGAGAGGATCCTGCACAGCCTCGTGGTTGGGGAGGGGGCTGCGGGCACAGAGTAGATGGGGAGCCCTTGGGGCCCCCATGCAGAGCTCTCCACCTGACCCCTGCCTCCCTGACACTCCCTCATCCAGACCATGGGAGCCCCAACCAGGACCCAAGCTCAGAGTAGAAACCTGGAGATGGTAGGAGAGACACAGAGAGGGCAAGGAAGGCCTTGGAGGTCACACAGCAAGCTGGAAAGGCCCTCCACTGCCCAAGTGAGGGTTAGCCTAATAGTGAGTATTAGGGGAAAGAGGTGGAACAAAGAAAGCAGAAAGGCAGGATGGGGGGTGCGAGGGGGAAAGGATGGAGGAATTTAAAGAGAAGGATGATGGGTGGGTGAGCTGAGAAGAGATGAGAAGTACAGGGTGGTGAGGGAGCCAGAGGGAAGGTGGAACCATGATCTGGTGTCCCTGGAGGGGACCTCTGTGGGGTTTGCTGGCCTCTCATCCTTCTGATTTTGTTGGGGGGGCACCACCGACCCCTTCTCTACTCTCAGCGCACCTGACTGAGGTGCACTGACTCCGCCCTCCACTCCAGGAATGGACCGTGATTCAATTAGACCAATGGGAGTCAGCGTAATTGGTTCAGAGGTGCGCGTGCTGCCCAGAATGAGTCAGGAAGCATTCGTCCCAGGATACTGGTTAAAAATAAAAGTGGTTTTTTGGTGTTTTTTTTTTAAGCTGGAACTGCTAAGTAGACAAGATATCAGCCTGAGGCTGCTGCCTCCTTGACACTGTCCGCTGCCTTCTTGCTCCCCATTTGGGAAAAGGCTGCCAAAGAATGATTCTAACAACTCAGAGCCAAGCCAGTGCTGTCCCTGTTCAAGCACCTGGATCTAGCCATGCCTGAAGTCCACGTCAGTCATCTGAGGCGATAAATGAGCTCTTCTCCTGAAGATAATACGAACTGGGTTTTGTCACTTACAGTTTGATGTCTATACCTCCACACGCATGTATCTGGCCATCCTGAATGTCTGCTTTGTTGTTAGTGGTCACTGGGAACCCAACAAGGATTTCTGTTTGTGCTTGGCCCCCAGAAACTGGGAAAAGGGTCCTGATAGTAAATTCAGAAGTGCCCTTAGAATAAAAAAATGTCCTAAAAAGCAGGGTACCAGTAGCCAGGAAATCGAGAGAAGAATTGCATTGGGAAAGTCAGCTGTCAGGGACCTCTCCAGAGTACTGAAGAGCAACAACGTCAGGCTGGAGGCTAAGATGCATCTGATCTGGGCCATAGTCTTTGCAATTCTGTGCTATGCATCGGAGAGTTGGACAGTGACTAGGGATGATAGAAAGAGAATTGATGCCTTTGAGCTGTGGTGCTGGAGAAGAGTGTTGAATATACCGTGGACTGCTAGGAGAACAAACAGGTTTGGCCTGGAGAGGGTGAAGCCGGGCTGCTCCTTCGAGTCAAGGATTCTGAAGCTTCCTCTGACATACTTTGGACATGCATCCTTGGAGAGGGATGTCATGTTTGGGAGAGTGGAGGGACAGCACGGGGGAGGGAGACCCTTAATGAGATGGATCGATTCAGTGACTGGGGTAGTGGAGGACAATGAGGTTGGCACAGGATAGAGCAGGGTTTAGGGCTCTTGTACGTAGGGTCACTATGAGTCGCAAGCGACTTGCCAGCACATAACAACAAAGAGCAGGGCAGCTGGGTACCCAGGAGACCCCTGCCCATTCTCAGACCACATTCCACCGAGATCACCATACCTGGCCTGGAGCACATGGCAGCGGAGGCAACGGCCCTTCACATCGTCCAGCATCTGCACGGCCAAGCGGACCTCCCCCTGCACCTCTGCATCCGGGTCCACGCGGCTCAGGTTGATCCAGCTGTCGATCCCTGGCACAGGTTAATGTCAATGTTGGCTACCATCTGGTTCATGCTGATTCACAGCAGCCCCATGAGGGAGGACAGAGAATCTTCAGGACCTCCCAGAAGGTTCTCAAAGACAGTCAATCACATGGGGGGAGGGGGGAAACCCCATCATTCTCCCACGGAGCAGCTAGTGGATTCGAACCAGGTGCCACTGGGTTGGTAGCGCAGTTCCTTACCACGAGGCCACCGAAGGATGCGCAATCCCCTCTGTGGTGACTGCCTCTGTAAACCCACTGGAGGGTCAGCTATGAGTCAGTTCTGACTCTACAGCATAAAACACTCTTTATTTACAAAGGCACCCCGGTGGTGCTGTGCTTAAAGTTTTGCTGCTGACCAAAAGACCTGCCATTTGAACTTACAGGCTGGTCGGGGGAAGATGAGGCAATCCACTTCCCTAATGTTTAGTCTTGGCAACCAGAACGGGCCCTCCTACTCCAGCCCGCAGGGCCCCTAAGAGTCAGAACCGGGTTGATAACATAGGTTGTGTGTTTTTCATCCTTCGTGGAGCTTGTTGTCAGGCCTTGTCTTCCACAGAGCAACCACCAACCTTTCCGTTAACAATCCAGAGCTCAGTGGGTTTTCAGAGGCTGTCACTCACCCAGGAGGAGACTGCTCATCCTCTTCTCCAGGATTCGAACTGACTGCTTTTGGGCTGACAGCACAACTCCTTACCCATTAGGCTACAGGAGCTCCCTACTATCCTTTCTAGCTGGATAAATTCCAATCAGGTAAAGATTTAAATGTTGGGGGGGAAATCACACAAATAGTCTCTAGGTCATGTTTAAAAAAATGAAAAATCCAACTTGTCTTAATCCTAGAGTTGGGAAAGCCTTTGAGAAAGGACAGAAACTCAAGAACCTACAGATGATCTGATACCATTTCCTACATTCATATTTTCTTCATTTTTATTTTATCATTTTGTGTGTGTTTGCTGTCAAATCGGATCTGACTGGTACAGGAGGAGATTGTCTCTCCTTCGCCAGCAGAGCATCTGGTAGATTCGAACCACGTGCCTCTGGGATTGCAGTGCAGCTTCTTGCCACTAGGCCACCAGAGCTCCCCATAGTTTTTTCTTTTTCTAGAGTCATCTTCATATAGACAAAGCAAAATAGGCATATTTGGGGAGGGGGAGAATAATAAGCAACGTCAAAATAGAAAACAGAGAAAAAATAAATGCAGCTAATATCACAAAGTGTTTATTTCCCTAATAAGCAAAAGCTCCTATGATTCATTAAGACAATGCAAGCAACCCAAGAGGCGGATTCGATCCAAATTCATATTGCACTTGCAATATAAACAGACAGAGGGAAAGAAAGTGACTCAAATACACAAAAAGATTTTTTCAACCGCATTCAAAGAGAAAGGCAAAATAAACTGGCACCCAGAGGTCACTTCACAACTACCAGATACAAGATTAAAACTTCTGGCGAGGGTGAGGGTAAGAACATTGGTCCCGCCTCACTGGGGAGTAATTTAACAACATCCCACGAACATACACGAGCGGATCCTCTCATCTAGCAAATCCACTTCTTGGAACTGATCTGCTAGAGCTGCGTGCATACGGGCTCGCCGTGAACAAGGCTATTCATTGTGGCACTTGCTGGAACTAGAAAGCGATGGTCAACAACACAAGTGCCCATCAGTAAGGAACCAGGCAAACAAGGGGACGTCCAGACGAGGCCAAGGAATGAGGAAGCCCTTGGGACGACATGAAAAGGTCTCCCAGGCGTGCGGTTAAGAGAAAGGAAAACAAAACAGTGAGCGTAACAGGCCACTTAATGATTTGTGTGGGCAAGGGGGCAGGACGAACACGCAGCACCTTGTTAAGAGCACAGGCTCTGAACTAACACCACCTCGGTTCAAATCCCAGTCCAACCACTTAGTAACTTGTGATCTCGGCAAGTCATTTAACTCTCTGTTCCTCAGAGTGCTCACCTGTAAATCCGTTTGCCATCGAGCCCATTCGAACCCAAAGGGTTAGACAGAGCAGAATTGCTTCTGAGAACAGAGCTTCTGAGACAGATGAGCTTTATGAGAGCAGAACCCTATTGGATCCTATAGGACACAGATCCTATGGAATCTACACATACCGTTTTAGATATGACAGAAAATCCTATGTTATATGCCATCAAGTCGACTGCCAATCATCGTGACCCTACAGACACGGTATATAGGACTAACACTGCCATAAACCTCATGGATAGAACTATCTTTGGATTAGCAGCCAATGCTCAACTTACAGCACCTCTCGGGCTCCTATGAAGCAGGGATCGACCTTCCAGGGTTATAATGACAACTGAGGAATAATTGCAAGGCACTTAGCGAGTGTCCCGCATACGGTAAGCAACACATAAGTGTGTGTTGCAGCTATCATTGCTGTTACTAGTTGTGCGTACTTGAAGCCTCTCCAGAAGCAGCTCTGCTGGCATAGTGCTTAACATACTGGGCTCCTATTCAAATGGTCAGCGGTTCAAATCCACCAGCAGCTCCAGTGGGGAAAACTGGGTAGTCTCCTCTCATTAAGATTCACAGCCCCGGAAACTGTGAAGGGTCCCTGTGAGTGGCATTAACTCCACCAGCAGAGGGCTGAGTTAGGTTCCAGTTCAGAAGGGGATACAAAAAACTGGCAACGGTGGGGAGACTATGTGGGACGAGAAGGAATTTCACCACCAATTATACCTTTTGACAACCAAATGATGTAAGTGAATTCCCTGAAGGGAGCTACATTAGCCATTAAAAATAGAAGTAGGAGCAGAAGTCCATCTCCACCGGAGCACACAGCTTTACTGTGTTGCTTCCTGTACCCACATTCCCCTCTGCTCTTTGCCAGCGGAACCCAGAATCACCCACCCATGTCGAGAGTCCCCTACCCACATCACTGGGTCCCCACCCACCTCGGGGGTCTGCAGCAATCGCCTCCCGGCTCAGCGAGATCTTGCCTATGACATCATCATGCCTGTGGGAAGACCCACCAGTAAGGGGTCCAGTTGGGGAGGGCCCTCCCCTGCCAACCCTCCCCCAATGAATCCCAGGACGGGGTGCATGGTGGTGGGAAGCGTCAAGGCTGGCTGGGTGCGTCCTTGGCTGAGGGTGTGACCCCCCATCCTGGTTCTCCTCAGGGACCCCAGCCATGGTCCTCCAATGCCCCCCACCCACCCAGCCACACACCCGACTGTGTCCTGGTCCAGCACGTAGAAGGCCAGATGATGGAAGTCCAGGGGCAGGTGCACCGTGTACTCCTCGCCCCAAAAGGGGCTCAGGCTCCGCCAGACAGTCGCAGTCCTGCAAGAGGGACAAAGGGCTGGGGGCCCTCGGACTACTCGGGCACAGGCCAGGGGACCCCCTACATACACAAGAACACACGCACACACAGGACACACACAGGACCCAATAGCTCACACACACACATACATACATTTAACATACAAGACACACACACAGGGGCCACAGGCACCCTCTCTCTCTCTCTCACACACACACAATGACATCACATGTATCCACCATCAAGGACCGAGATACATATCCATCCAGGGTCAGTCATGCACCCATGAGCCCAGACACAGCAAGAAACACAAACACCTTCATGTAGGTACATAGTCAGGGACTAACACGCACCTCCCAGACACACACACATGATCTAAACACACAGGTGTCTCAGTACACACCTGAGGGCCCAGAAACATGCGCACACGTACAAAAATGCATACACACAGCCAGACACACAAAGATGCTCTCACACATCCATGCGTATGCGTACATATGCTCAAGAATTTCTAGAAACACACAGCTGCATGCAGACGTGTGCAGACGCCCAGAGTAGATAAGATACATTGCGACAGACAGCACAGATCAAGAAATGCCCAGAACATAAGCAGACACACAGTGACCCCGGCACCCTTCCACACATGCTCACGTGCAGAGGGTGTACAGACACCCAGCAATTACAGACAGACACACGCCAGGAATTCCAAAGATCACACACACACACACACACACACACACACACACACACACACACGCCTTCCTTCACTCCATGAACACACACCCCACTGTGAGCGTGCTGGGCTCTGAGAATCAGAAAGCAAGCCAGGTCCCAGCCCCCACAAAGCCCCCAGTGGGGAGCTGCCCTCAGGTTTAGGATACAGTGACGGAGCTCTGTGATTGGGGTTAGCTCAGTGGTGCCTGAATGAGTAAAGGATAAGACTAGAGTTATCAGGGTAGGCTTCCTGGAGGAGGCAGAGAGGAAGGATGAGGGCAAGTTTTCCAGGTATGTGCAAAGGCCTTGAGGCAGAAATGAGTTTAAACTTGAAGATTAGGGAGGGAAAGGGGAGTAGAAATAGGTAAGAGGGTTAGGAATGTTGGAAGAGCCCCGGTGGCATAGTACATAATGTATCAGGCTGCCAATTGAAAGGCCAGCAGTTCAAATCTACCAAGCTACTCACAGGAGAAAAATATGCAGTGACCTCACATAAAGATTTACATACAGTTCCAGGAATCCAATGGAATGTCGCTATGAAATTGGAATCCACCAGAGAGCAGTGGATAGAGAGCAGGGAGCGCCCAGGGCTTTGGGGTACACAGAACAGGGAGCATCAAGTCCCAGACCAGCTGGGCTCCACACATGCGCAGACATCGCCACCCACACCCCTGCAGGTACACTTCCTTTACCCAAAGGGAACAAAGAACCTGCTTCACCCACGGCAGACACACCCAAATGTCTGGCTGCAAAACTGTGTTCATACACCAGCCACTCCCTCCTCGCTCCCACTCACCACGTTCCCCAAACGGGCTCCACTATCAGGGTCCTTCCAAACACCCTCCTCCCTACCTGGGCCCTTTCCAACAGGGAACCTCAGTGGCTTCTCACAGACCAGAGAGGGGGAGGCAGCCGGCTGAGGTCACACAGAAACTCAAGCTGCAAGCTTGGGGACTGTGTGGGGAGTGTGGGTGCAGGGAGAGAGATAGAGGACCCCCTCCCCTCCACTCCCACCAGCTCCCCACCCCCAGATCCCTGCCCATCTGGACCAGAACCAGCGCCAGAAGCATCCTGAATCCCTCAGTCTCCATAGGAACCGAGGCCTCAGCTGCCCGCCCCCTCAGGCCTGCAGGGGTGGGAGCTGTCCCTCGGCCTGCGGAGGTGGGAGTCAACACAACCCAGCATGATGCCCCCCAATACTCACGCACATATCTGCACCCATATAGCCCAATAAGAATGCATAGATGCATACGTGTGTGCATGCACACACACAGAGACACACGCATGTGGCCACAGGTGGCCCACCAATGCACACACACACACACACACTCACCCTCGCATACATCCAGTGCCCGCAGCACCCAGCATGCTCTGAGCTAGGCAGCCCAGCCAAGCGTGAGCTGCCCGCACACCCCACCCCCCAGGGAGGCCACCGGGGGAGGCGCGGACTGCCAGTCACTGAGTCAGCCCACGGAGCGGGCTGGGGTGGGGGGACATCATAGAGTCCAGCGGGAGGACTCCCAGCTGGCTGGTGGAGAGGCCAGGGCCAGAGTTCCCTCCTTCAGACCCGCAGACCCCCCTGGGTAAGCACTCCCTGCCCCTAAGCCCACTTTTAAGCATGGTCCACTCTCCCCAGAAAGGAAGCCTGGCAGTGTCACAATTGAAGAAGCATCAGACTGCTAACTGAAAGGTCAGTGGTTTGAATCCACCAGCTGGGAGAAAGATGTGGCAGTCCGCTGACCTTCAGAATCACAGCCTTGGACACTCCGCAGGGTAGTTCTCTGGTCCGGCGGGGTCGCTGAGAGTCACAACTGTCCCCACAGCAGTGGATGTGTCTCTGGCTTTGCGTTCCCTCCCCCAACTGTGTCCCCGCTCCTCACCTGGCCACCACCTCGTCGTCCACCTTCACTATGCAGTAGGGGTCACTGCTCCCAGACCTGCAGGCAGACAGGGTTTGGAGGAGGGGGTTGAGAGGACAGCCATGAGTCGAGTCCCAAGCCACCTTCACTAGAGGAGACTGAGGCCCAGAGAGGGCAGGAGCTTGCCCAAGATCACACAGCAGGTCCAGGAGGAAGGCAGGACCCCAGGGGACTGGCAGGAGCTGCCACAGGAACACAGTCCACCCACAGCACGCCTGGCCCACCGCAGGGCCTTTCTGCACTTCCATTCACAGAACTAGAGCATGGAAGCGGGGAGGGGGGGGGTTGGGGGGGGTGTTCAGGCCCCTCTCGCTCCCAGCCAGATGCCCAAAGGCCAAGAGCATGTCCTGGAGGTCAACACTGGCCTTGCCACGCCCTCGTTCCACATGCTTAAGTGCCACTCTCTGAGGCAAGCATTGTCCTCGCTGTGGTCACCTCAGGGCAAGCTTCCCTGGGCAGGCTGGGGTGACCGGGGTGGATCGGAGAGTCCCTCCTCTCAGCGAGAATGGACCTCAGCTGACCCTCTCACAGATGACCCTCGGGGACCCACACCTCAAAGCTGAACCATAGGAGAGATGGCTGCATGGCCTAATGGTCTCTGCACCACTTAGATTATCTCTATCCCCCCTTCAAAACAAGAAACCCCAAGCCACCACTACCATCTTTATCCCCCCTTCATAATAAGAGCTTCCAGGATATCCCAAGGCCCTCACCTCCTGCCCATCCCCTAGGTTCCCATCAAGCTCAGGGTCACCTCAGAGCCTCTGCACGTGCTGCCCCCTCCCCTAGGACTCAGTCTCTGATCTTGCCATGGCTCTCTCCCTCCTGGCTTTCAATTCTCAGCCCCAAAGTCACCTCCTCAGATAGACCTTCCCTAATCAAGTCTGTCCGTGCTTCAAACTTCCACGCTTCAAGCCACTCTGGGACCACCTGGCCTGGTCACCGCTCTGCCCCTGTCCCCAATGTCTGGCACGAACTAGCGGATACCTTCAGAGACATGAATTTGCTGTGCTTTCCCGGGAGGCTCAGAGAGGTGCTGGCACTTGTCACACAAGGACGACCCGCAGAGCCTGAACCGGATGGAGGGCGGTGAGGCCCAGGGCGCATGCTCCGAACCTTGCTGCCTCGGCCTCTCATCTAGCCCCCCCCAGCGCCTCAGCCCTCACTTCTGTACCCCAGATCCCCACACTCAAATGTCCGAGGAATTCCAGGGAAGCCTGGCTTTGGCACCAAGGTTTGTCTGCTGATTAGTCCTGTCCCGTGCCTCAGTTTCCCCTCTGGATTCCTTCCCTTAGGCCCTCTGAGGTTTATTCCCTAATTCCTCTGGTTCCCCAGCCCCTCAAACTGGATGGTCTCTTGAGCCTCTGTGTCCATCTCTGGCTCCCACCTCTGAACCCCCTGGGGGGGGTGTCCCCAAGCCTCAGCTTCCCCTCCTGCCTCAGTTTCCCCAGGTGGTCAGCTCACCCAAAGTGAGTCTGAGTGCGCTATCCATAGGTGAGCTTCCTGTAGAGGGGTACCCTAGTGTCAGCTTCCCCAACTGCAGATGAGGGGTGTGGGGTAACCGTCTCAGATGCACTTAGTAAAGGGCTCAGAGATACACACTTTTACGTAGGGTCGATGATGGCCCTCCGAAGTAGGTGTCGTGAACTCAAAGCTCCACATGTGACTACCATCCCACTAGGGAATGCGACCTCTAGTTCATGAATGCAATAGGAGTGAGGTCTAGTTGAAGTCAATCTTTCTCTCTTTTTTTTGTTTTGTTTTGTTTTGAATAAGTAGTTCAAGTTTATTAAGATCTCATTCACGTGTAATTCATAATGGGCATTCAATTTAGACTATCACTTAATGATTCATGGTTTAATAGTACTTTTCAGAGATGAGCACATGCAAGATCACCACAGTCAAGATTTTGAACATCCCTGTCACCCCCTGAGATCCTCTGTGTCCCTCACCATCAATCCCTGCCATGCCTCTCACCTTTCAGACTTGGCCAACTACCGACGTGTTTTTTGTCACTATAGATTAGATTCACTAGAAACAGGATTGTATTGTACGTGTTCCTTCGTGTCTCATTTCTTCCACTTGTTGTTGTTGGTGTAGTACGCCCTTAAGTCAGAACTGACGCCTAGCTGACCATCCAGCGGGTTTGGCGAGGTTGTGAATTGTACAAGAGTGGACTGCCTTTGAGCTGTGGTCCTTGCTATGCGTCAGAGAGCTGGACAATGACGAGGGATGATAGAAGGAGAACTGCTGTCTTTGAGCTGTGGTGCTGGAGAAGAGTATTGAATGTACCATGGACTACCAAGAAAACAAGCAGATTCATCCTGGAGAGGGTTAAACCAGGCTGCTCCTTGGAGGTGAATATTCTGAAGCTTCATCTGACATACTTCGGGCACGTTGTAAGGAGGGACCAATCAATCCTTGGAGAGGGACATCATGCTTGGGAGGGTGGAGGGACAGCGCAGGAGAGGAAGACCCTCTGTGAGGTGGATTGACAGTGAGATTGGCACAGGACACAGCAGGGCTTAGGACTATTGTATATAGGGTCACTTGAGTCGCAGGCGACTCAATGGCACATAACAACAACAACAACATTGGAGAAGGGTACTGACTACCCCACGGACTGGAATACTGAATATCCTTATGTCCTGGAAAAGGTGCAGCCAGCATGCTCCCTGGAGACAAGGATGCCCGTCTTTCATACTTTGGACATGTAGCTAGACAAGGCTGTGACTTGGAAAGGGAGGGTCGGTGAAGGAGAGGAAGCCCCCCCAACAGGATGGCTTCAGCACTGGACTCTAGTGTGGCAGGGCTGGTGAGGATGGCATGGGATAGGACAGGGTTCAGGTTGGCTGTTCATTGAGTTGCAATGAGTTAACTCAATCTCTTTTGAGAGATAAACAGTTAAGCAAATGAAATCAGTAGAGATGAGAGAAGAGAGATGAGACATCCAAGATGACCCAGGAGCAGACGCTCAAAAAGAGACGACCTCCCACCAGAGCTGACACAGACAGAAAACCTTCTCCTAGCTAGAGCCAGCACCTTGAACTTGAACTTCTAGCTTCTTGAACTATGAAGAAAGAAATTTCTGTTTGTCAAAGTCACTCACTTGTGGTGTTTCTGCGGCGGCAGGACTAGCTATCTAAGACACGCCCCTCCTGCTGACCCAGCCTGACCCAGGGCCCTCATGGGAGCGAGCTCTGAGCGTCAGTTCCGCGGCTGGAACGCACAAGAGCCTTATCGGGCGTCCATCAGGTAAGGGGGCAATGGTGGCTGGGGGCCCGCCCCTCCTCCGGAGCTCTGCCCTCTCCAGCCCCATGGCCTCTCCCACGGCCCCAGCCAAGCATGGGAAAGCAGTGCCAGCCGGCCATCACCTGCCAAGTCTGGTTTGTACAGTGTGTACACAATCAGAGTTCAAATCCCAGCCTGATGACCTGGACCAAACAACTCTGCATCTGGGCCTCAGTTTCCCTTTCTGTGGAATGGAGACACCAGCAGGCCCCTGTGAAATGTTAAACACACGGCCTGGCCAGGGATCAGCCTTCCTTGACTCACAGCTGCTGTTAACTGTCAACAGGAAAAGATACATAATAGTAATAGCGCCGCATTTCTCTGCTGAGGCCAGCACGGACTCCTTCCCACCGGGCAGGGCTCAGATGGCGAAGGGAGAAGGGAGAGCCCCCCAGAAATGAGATCCCAGCATCCTCTGCACAGAGCTCTCTGAAAAAGAAAGCCAACAGCTAGGGAAACTGAGGCGGGTAGAATCCCAGCTTGGTGGCCCCTTTCCAGACTTGCTCCGAGATTGGGGTCCCCTCCAGGTTCACTCTGGCCCAAGAACTGAGTGGGAGAAAAGTGAAAAAAGACAAGAGATGCAACAAGCAGGCATGATACCATTCTGTCTGCACATGGGGGGGCAAGGAAACCCCAAAAGCTTGACCTAGGCTTCTCTAAGCCTAGGACTAGGAGGTGAGTGCAATATCTAAAAAGGACCCTTTTGGCGAGCTCTGGTGGCCTAGTGGCAAGAAGCTGCAACTACAGTCTCAAAGGTGCACGGTTCAAATCCACCAGATGCTCTGCTGGAGAAGGAGGAACAATCTCCTCCTGTACCAGTCAGATCTGATTTGACAGTACACACAAAAAAATAATGAAATAAAATAAATTTAAAAAGGACCCTTTCAGTCTTCTAGCATCTTCCAGCCCCCCCCCCCATCTCCCCGCCCTGTGAGTTCCAGGGACCGATTCTGAGAGGCCCGGGAGGGATGTCTGGGAGGGGCTTTCTCACAGCAAGCTCTGCTCCGATGCAGGAGTATGCTTATTGGGGGGTTACTGATGAGGCTTGAGGGGGCTAACAGTGCCCTGAGCGGTCCCTCGGACTTGGCTGAGTCTTGGGGGAGTCATGAGGTCAGAGTTAGGATACATGTGTGTAGCAGCCAGCAGGCCCTCAGGGCAAATCCTCACAGGGGTCCCCACTTCTCACCTCATAACTCAAGGGGCCTTGGAGAGCTCAGCCCAGAGCACCCATTGTCCAGATGGCAAATGGAGGCCCGCAGAGGAACACATCCAAGGTCACACACCAGTGCCCTGCCAAGGAGCCCACATCTATCCCAGGTGCTGACGCGGTCAGAAGCCCTTCTGGGCTCCAGGCCAAGCAGGAAGGGACCCCCCCCCAATTCTGCTGATACAGCAACTGCTGACTCAGGGCTAGGGAAAGTACAGCCAGACCACCCTCCCCAACACCATCACCCCGAGCTGGGGAGGGGTTGCGTTCGGAGTCACTCTTCTAAGAGTTCAGCCTCTGCCAAGAATTCAGCTAGGTGACCCCCCCACTGGAGTTCAGGTGCTGTGTCATAGGGACCCCAGGAGGCCTCCCCCCAAGTCCCCATCCCCAACACCTTTCTCCGGTCAGGGTGGTCACCACCTGGTGGCATTCCACACCGGACACACCAGATGCACACAGAGGAATGTTGGGGTCCACCTAGCTCACGGCCCTCTGACCCCTCCCCTGAGTTCACGCCCCGCCCAGCCCTGTGGAAGTCCGATCCCCAACAATTACCTGGACCGAGGCAAGCCCCCCAGCCCCACCCCGCATTCCCTCCTCATCTCTGATGGAAGAAATTCCGTCACAGATCCCCATGGGCGGACTCTCCCTCCCTCCCTGAGCCGGGTCGGGGAGCGCCAGCCAAGTGTGGACAGCGATGGGCATGGCTGTGGGCGCGCGAGGATCTAACACAGGACCTGGGTTCACACAGGACGCAGCCACACCCGCCTCCCTCAGCGCCGGCCCCGCCTCGCGCCCCGCACGCCCCCCGCCAACCCACCCAGCGCCCCGGGGTACTCACACGTCCTTGGCAGGCAGCGAGCGGCCCTCCACCACGCGGACATTCAAGGAGCTGATCTTCGCCATGGCGCCCAGCCCCAAACTTTCCGCGCGCCCAGGTTCCAAGGTTAGCCCCGGCGGTGACTACATGTCACCATCTGTGACCCTGGTCCCTGCCCCGGGGTCACGCTGCTCGAGACGCGGGGGTTCCGAAGGCGACGTTGGGGAAGGTGCGGCCGGCACGCTACAGGTAGGAACCGAGCGCCCGGCGGCAGGCAGAGCGCACGAGGGGCATCGCCGGCTCTTGCCTCCGCGTCTGGAGCTCCAGGAGGGCGGGCGGGAAGGGGTGGCCCGGCCCTCCTCCCAACACCGCCCACCGCGGGGTCCCCCGCCCCCCGAGCCCCCACGTGCGCCCTCTGCCGGCACCCCAGCCCCGTGCGCCGTGCCGGAGCGCACCGGCCGCGGAACCCAGAGCGCAGAGGTGGCCCCGCGAGGTGGGGAGCGGCGCGGGTAGGATGGAGGGCTGGCTCATGCGTGTCTGAATGAGGCTCAGAAGACAGGCTGCCCCCAGCCTCCCGCTTCCCTGTCACCCCTTCCCTACGCCCTCGCCCTTTCAGGCTTGGCCCGCGCGCCCTGCCCTGGGGCAGTCTCTGCGGGCGACGCTAGAGGGACTCACAGGAGTCCTCGTGAGTCAAGGGGGGCGCTGCAAATACCCTCCCATCTCCTTTCACTTTCCAATTAAACTCACACTGTGGGTAACGTCACGTTCTGCGGGAGGAAGCTGTGGCCAGAGGGGGAGGGGAGCCCTGGAGGTAACTACCACCTCCGGTGAAACAGGAGTCATCAATCAAGTCATCCACGTCCCCGAGAACACTTTCTGGGCGCCAGCCATTGTCCTACACGCTTCACAGTGATGCTCCATTTTTGGTCTCACAAGAACCCTATGGGGAGAATTATTACCCTCGTTTTACTGCATGAGAAAAATGGAAGTTCTCCACAGGTGCAAAGCAGCTTGCCAACTAGTAATGGGTTGGAATTTCCGAGTCTGAATCCTGACTCTACCATTTGGTAGCTGTGTGGCCTTGGGTGAGTCACTGAATCTCTCTGGGCATTGGTTTTCTCACCTGTCCCACAGTGACCACATATCATCTCAACCGTGGGGCTTTCTTTCGAGAGACTTTCAAGAGAGAATGAAAATGAAGGTCTCCGAGAAGTGGCAGATACCTAAGACGCTCATGCAGAGAGTTTGAGAGCTGTGTCCTTCAAGGCTCACACGTCACCTCCTCTGGGAAGCCCTCCAGGATGTCGCTCACCCTACACAGATGTTTTTCATCCCTTTAGCTGGGCTCCCACACCTTGAACTGGGTTTATTTTGCAAGTTTTGAATGAGAGGAAGGGCCTGTTCCCGGGGCTGGCACTTGTGCACACTTACTTCTACCTGTTAAGTTTGCTGGCCACCTGCCTGCGGGAGTTAGAAGGGCTGGCACAGAGCTGCACTCGTTTGGGTCCACCCAGGGCTGGGCACCGACAGGAGGGCAGCGGCTAAGTGACTGAAGGAACCAACACCCAAGCAGGAGGGACCAGGCACACCCTGCCCAGCCTCAGAGACAGACCCCAACAACTGCTGCCCAGTCTCCTTCCCTGATCCCCCACCCAGTGCCCCCACCGGGCTGGTGAGAGATCTGGAACCTTGGCCTTCTCTCCCTGACTCACTGATGCCTGGTGTACCCAAGACCCTCAGAGACCTGGGCCTCAGTTTCCCCATCCGGGAAGTGGGTCTAGCAGGGCATGCTAAAGGATTATGACATCCTTTCATGAAAGGCTCCGAGGTTATCCAATGTTGGCTCTAGAACACTGGTGGAACTGGTGGGTAGATAAAACCTCTCCCCTACCACAGTAATCAATCTTTATCTGCTCCCCTAATGTCAAGAAGACAACGATTTTCACCACTGGACCAATTGGTAGCATCAGGATGGATGACGAAGAGATTGAGATTGTTCACAGCTTCAGTTTGCTTGGCTCCACAGTCAATAGTCTTGGTACCAGCAGCTAGGAAATCAAAAAATGTATTGCGATGGGAAAGTCTGCTGTTAGGGACCTCTCTAAAGTACTCAAGAGCAACAGTGTCTCTCTGGAGCCTAAGGTGCGCCTGATACAGGTCATGGTCTTTGTAATCACTTGTTATGCATCATAACAATGACTAGGGAGGATAGAAGGAGAATTGATGCCTTTGAGCTGTGGTGCTGGAGAAGAGTATTGAATGTTCCATGGACTGCCAAGAAAACAAACAGATTCATCCTGGAGAGGGTTAAACCAGGCTACCCCTTGGAGGCAAGGATTCTGGGGCTTCGTCTGACATACTTTGGACATGTTGTAAGGAGAGACAGGTCCTTGGGGAGGGACATCATGCTTGGGAGGGTGGAGGTACAGCGCAGGAGGGGAAGACCCTCTATGAGGTGGATTGATTCAGTGACTGGGGTAATCGGGATGGGTGTGTCAGAGGCAATGCAATTGGCACAGGATAGAGCAGGGTTTAAGGCTGTTGTACATAGGGTCGCTACGAGTTGCAAACGACTCAACGACTCAACGGTACATGATAACAACAACAGGTCTCCTAAGTAAATGTACAATCCAGGAGAGGAGCAGGGACATGAGCTATTAAAGGGCATGGTGCAAAGGGAGCTCTGGTGGCCTTAGGGGCAAAGAAGCTGCACTGTAATATTGAAGACTTGTGGTTCAAATCCCCCAGATGCTCTGCTGGAGAAGGAGGGAGGGGGGAGGGACAATCTCCTCCTGGGCCAGTGGGATCTGATTCAAGGGCTCACCACAAGAAAATAAAAAGGAAACAAAAGGGAGGGGCATAGTGTATCCCATCCTGCACTGCTGGGAGGTCGGTGGTTCCAATCACCAGCTTCTCTTAAAGAGCCAGACAGGCAGTTTCCTCCCACAAAGACTCACCTGATGTGCAATCACCACAAGTCAGAATCAACGCGAATAACAATGGGTTTGGGTTTATAAGGCTGTAAGAAGGCCTGGTGGTGCAGTGAGTAAAGAATGAAGGCTTCTAACCACAAGGTTTGAACCTACCAGCTGTTACAGTGATAAATGAAGAAATCTGTTTTTGTGAAAATCACAACCTTGGAAAATCTCTCTGCCCTACACTGTTCTGTGAGTCAGAATCGATTTGATGGCAATGAGGTTTTGGGATTTGTGGGGTTATTTTTGGGTGTTTTAGGGGGTATAGGTTGCTGTGTCTTCAAAACAGATGTCCTACTCACTCATACACCTGGGTGGGGGCTTCTGACTAGACTTGTGGTGCTCTCGGCAAAGCACTCAGCTTCACCCCGCCCCCAGGGCCCCCAGTGGAACCTGGAGTTTAGACATATGGTCCCCTGGGATCCACCCAAACTGCCACCCAGCTGTCTTGAAATGTCTCCAGAGCAGAGCAGGAAGTCACATTCCCAAACACCCGTCCCCAGAGGGAATTGCCAAGGTTATCAACCATGCCAGCCAGGCCTCCAGGGAGCTGGTTCTGTCACCGTCAGGTATCCGGTGTCTGACCTGCCATTTGCCCGGGGCTGTGGCCACCCTGCTGTAGTGTTTTACGCATGGTCCATCCACTTCCTGTTGTTCTGAGAAGCCCTGACCTGAGAAGTGCAGGGGGCTGAGGTCTCTCGGCTCTGTGTCCCAGTGAGGAGCCCAAGGGGGGTCCTGGGTGGGGGTCACCCACCGGGGGAGGGGCATGTCCTGGTGGAAGGGTCTCATCTGTCTCATGGACTTGAGTTGTGGATGACACTTTTAAGACACCTGGCATCATTCCTGCTAGGCCGCTCCCCTGCCCTCTGTGATGTCCACCTGAGACTGGACATGGGCACCAAGTGGAGATGACTTCTTATCCTCACATGGGGGTCAGATCTAGGGGTCCAGGGAAGGGGCTGCTGGTACCTGTTCCCACCAGCTTATGGGGGTCAGATGCCCCCCGGCTCCACATTGGGCAAACGTCAGTCACTGTCTGCTCACAGCCTCAGAGTGCTGTCACCGATGTGTGTGTGTGTGTGGGTGTGTGCGTGTGGGGCTACATTTACAGCGGTGCCCCCCCCAACACCTGCACACCCTGCCAGCCCCTTTCTGTAACCTTGGTGTCCTGTTCCCGTGTCGTTTGATGATTTACATGCTAGTCTTTCTGCTAAATGTCAGGGACAAGGTCTGATTCATTCCAAGCCTCCCACACTGCACATGGGGTAAAACTCAGACACACTTGCCCGGCTGCGTAGAATTCATTTCCCCTTGAGAACTGCTGTACGCACAGCTTCCTTCCTCTCCGCACCCAGGGTGAGCGCTCAAGTTATGCCAACCTGCCCCTTCTACCCAGCGGCTGTTGACCCTGTTTCCACTCAAAGTGACCCTCAAGTGCATGTCCGAGGTGGCCAGTCTTTGTGGGAGGAGGCTACACCCATCTTTCTCCCAAGGAGCAGCTGGTGGGTTTGAACCACTGGCCTTCCCACTAGCAGCCCTATACATTATGCACTGTTATCACCAGAGTTCCTTCCTTCCTTTATACCTCCATGCGCAAAGCAGGAGACCCAGTCCCATCACCAGAGGGTGCCACGGACCTGCCCATCTCTAGACCTCAGTGTCCCCGCCTGTGAAATGGGCACCATCCCTTCTGAGGCCAAGATCCATCCAGGGCAAACTGCCCTGGTCCAGGTTGGGGTGAGGAGCAGTTCTTTGTCTCAGTAACACAAAGCCCTGTTTGTGATGTTGGTGAGCAAGATTCTGGGCAGGGAGCCACGTGGCACAGGAGGCCACAGAGGGAGAGCCAGGCAGGGCTTCCCACAGCCCCCCAGGGGGCTCGCTGCCAGGGACCCCGGCCTAACACGTCCCCTCCTCCTGGGGCTGGGGAAGAAAGCAGGTGTCCTTCTGTCAGTCGACACCCCTACTTCTTCCTCCCTCAGCCCGACTCCCCTAGGTGATCGCCCCGCCGCCTCCTTGGAATGGAGAAGTAGGAAGAGGGAAGTTGTTGGGGCGTGAGATATGAAGGGTGGAGAGAGTGGATATTTCCAGAAGCTGTGGGTTTGTGGCCAAGGGCAAGGCCAGGAAAGAAGCTGTGTCCCTCTGTCATCAGCAGCCAACCCAGAGCACCGTCAGGAGGCTGAGCTAGCGGCCAGGGAGGCCCCTAGAGGACAGAGTGGGGACAACAGCCCATTTAAGAGAAGGAAAAACTGAGGTCTTTGGGATGAAAACGCTAAGACCGTAGCTCCCAACTTCCTGAGCCAGTGTAGGGACCTTCTCCTCTAAGTTTGCAGGGGTTCCCAGGGCTCATTGCTGTGTCGTGTACAAACACCAGGCCCTCTAACTTCTCAGCCAGTATTCTTGGGAAGTTACTTAACTCTGTCACTTGTAGCACAAACCCAACCCTTCCTGGCCCCATTTAGCCTCGACATGGCCCAGCTGTCTTTGAATTCTGTACACAGACTTCCAGGCATTTGAGTGTACGAAGTGTTGCCCTGCTAACCCAATGGTCAGTGGTTCAAATCTACCAGCCATTCCTTGGGAGAAAGACAAGCCATCTCCTCCCTTAACGATTTGCCCCCTTGGAAACCAATAGAGGGTTGGTAGGAGTTAGAATCCACTTGGCCAAGGGGATGGTTTTTGGTTGATGAGGGAACCACATTCTTCTGCCCCTGGGCCTTTGCACATGCTATTACCGTCCAGGTGGAAGACCCAGGTGTGCTTGTTATATCATCCTGAGAATTTGTCCCTAAAAGCTCCCCCTGCTGGGCTATTCCCAGGATTACACTGGAGACAATGTCCACAGTTTCCCTCCAATCTCCCCCATGCACGCCCCTCATCCAGACCCAGATCCCCTGTCCCTTTCACATCAACTTCCTTCAGGTGGAAAGAGGGGACCCTTGCACGTGCTGTAACTAGGCTTTGCGTCCTGTGAGATGAATCCAAGACAGGCCCCAGTGCAGACACAGACCTCAAAGTGCTGAGAGAATGTGGCGGACCTTTCCTGAGAGTGACAGCCAAGGACCAGCCCAGGTGTGGAGCACCCAGAGAGGCAATGATTAGCCAAGGGACCCCCATCGTCTTCACTGCACCCCAGTTCTGATTCAGGATCCAAACCAGCACTCCCCTCCCGGTGGCCCCTCCCTCTCCCTAAGCCAGGAAGCGGAAGGTTGTGTTGGTGGTTGCCCTGGCAACCGGCTCAGGCTTGGTTGCATACAGAGATCACTGAGCACGCTGCTACTCCCTGCCCCCCATCAGAGCCCCCAGGCCCTCCTAACCCCCAAGTGTGTGCGGAGGCTCCCCCAGTGGAGAAGGGTATGGCTGTGTCCTGGGAGGAGTATTTCCGACTGGCCTTACAGGAGAAGGTGAAGCGGTGAGTGGCCGTGCGGTGGCAGAGAGAGCTGGAGGAAGAAGGGCAGGAGAAAGTGGGGAGGCCCAGCCCCTTCCTGCCCCTCTCCCCAAGTCCTGTCTTCCTCCGAGCATTCTGGTTTCCGTGAATTATTGTCCCACTTCATAAAGAGGTTCTGGTGGAGTGGTGTGTGAGGTAGTGGGCTGCAAACTGGAAGAACAACAGGTCCAGTAAACCTTGGGAAACACATGGGCAGTTGCCACCCATGAAGATTTACAGCCTCAGAAAGCTGAGGGAGGTTTCTCGACGCTCCTGGGCTTCAGTGGGTCCCAAAGAAGACACTGAGGGTCAGAGAGGACCTCGGACTTTCTCAACTGAGTTAGAAAGGAGCTGGACCCATACCGCAGGTCTCTAACCTGCTCCTGCGCCCAGCTGACTTCCAGCTGAGGTGAAGTCATTCGCACCAACGTGGGAAGGACTCCTGGCAGCCTGCTGGCCACCTCTGCCTGCCTCCCTCACCTCCCCCTCCTTCTCGTGCTGCCCTGCAGGGAGAGACCGGAGCAGACCATGCCCCCCTGCCCCGCTGTGCTGCAGCTACTGGAGAAGAAGCAGGAACTGGAGGATGCGGACAGGGACCTGCAGGCCCAGAAGGAGGTGACCAGAACGAATAAAATAGGAATAGGGGACTGAGCAATGAGAGAATGCCTGGAGCCTTGGTTTCCTCGCCTGTAGAATGGGAATCAAGTGAGACTCGCCGTTGATCCACATAAGCATGCATGGAGCACCCACTGTATACTGGGCACTGCAGACAGGACTGGGCAGGAACTGTGGGAGTCCAGAGGAAAGCTCGAGAACTCCACATGGGAGTAGTCAAGGAGGGCTTCCGGGAGGAAGTGATGTTCTGTAAGGATTGCTGACTGACAAGATAGCTTATCTAGCAGAATGGTCAAGTCAAAGCAAAGAGGGTAAGGTGAGCCCCCCCAAAGGAAGGGCAGGGACCCTGGAAGGCCGGAGCCACAGGAGGTACTTGGGCGTCATCCTGATGACTGTGGACTTGGGTAGGTTTAACCAGGGGAGCAGCTGGCAAGTTCAAGTTCAATAGGTTTGTTGTTACTGTGTACCACAGCGTCAGAACCAACCTATAGCTGACCCTCCGCGGGTTTTCAGAGACTGAAGACCACAAGAGAGTTGAGTGCCCACCTTTCTCCTATGGAGCAGCTAGTGGATTCGAACCGTATACCTTTGAGATTGCAGCCCAATTCCTTACTGCTAAGCCACCAGAGCACCCCAGTACAAGAAGGACAAACTTAAGTGGCAAACCTCAGTCCCTCCCTCAAACTTAGCTTAAACCTCTCAAAAAAAAAAAAAAAAAGACGCCCCTCTTCCCACACCCAGGTGTTCCAGGCCAGGATGGTAGCCCTGCAGCAGCGCCGGGAACAGCTGGAACAGAAGAAGGGGGAGCTAAAGGGGTCCTTCTCCCGCTTTGACAAGTTCTTGCAGGTAGGCAGCAACCGGTGGAGGGCAAATGGGTGAAGAGGAACACAAGCCTAGAAATCTATTACAGGCTAGACCAAAACAGAGATCACCCTTCTTTCTCCCCTGGAGGGGCTACTAGATTGGAACTGCCCAATTCCGTCAACACCTAAAACCCTCAGCCCAAACCTAAAAGGTCATATAAATAAAAGAAGTGGGCTAAGGAGTGCAAAAGAGAGTGGCGTGAAGTACCCACAGCATTCCCTGCAGCATTTAAAAGGAGTGACGGTGGCATGGAGATACTCCTGGCTGAATCTGGCCGCACAGTGACCATGGTAAGAGTGCCAGTGTTGGGGAGGCCCCGCCCCTGAGGTCCGCTGTCTCCTTCTCCGGCCTGCACTCCAGGACTCGGAGGCCCGGCGCAGCCGCGTGCTTCGCAGGGCGGAAGAGGAGCGGCACCGCGCGGACCGCCAAGAGGCCGAGGCGCAGCGGCTGTGCGCGCAACTGGAGGCGCTGAGGGAGGAGCGCGCAAGGCTGCAGCGCGCACTGGAGCGCCTGGCGCCCTGCGCTCACCTACTCGCACAGGTTCTGGAGCGACTTCCAGAGGTGAGCGCAGGCCAGGAGGCATTGGGGTTCAAAGCTACAAGGTGCAGTTGTGGATGGCTTGGGGCAGGCGCACTCCTAGAGTGCTTACTAACCCGCGTGCCATCGAAGGTGACTGATTCTTAGGGACCCGATGAACAGCAGATCTGAACCTGAACCTTGCCCTATCCTGCACCGTTCTTACCATATACTTGAGCCTATTGTTACAGTTACTGTCAGCCCACCTCCTCAAGGACCTTCCTCTCATTATCTGACACCCCCCCACCTTTCCCTGCGTGATGTCGTCTTTATCCATGGTCTGACCTCTCCTGACCACATGCCCAAAGTATGTGAAATGATGTTGACTATCCTTACCTCTAAGGGGCACCCCCAGCTGTACTTTCTCCAAGACAAACTTGTTAGGTTTTTTGGTGGTCCACGGGGTGCTCAGTACTCTTCTCCAGCACCGCAATTCAAACACATTAATTCTGTTTTGTTTTGGTTTTTTTTGTTTTTTTGTTTGTTTTACATTAATTCTTCTTTTATCAAACTTACCTATTGCATAAGACGTAATTGAAGAGATTATGGTGTGAATCAGGTGCACCTTAATCTTCAAACTAACGTCATTACTCTTTAGAATTTTGGAGAGGTCTTTGACAGTGTATTTTCCCCAGTACAACAACATACCTTTTCATTTCTTTTCTTTCCTTTTTTTTTTTGGTTTTGTTTTGTTTTTGTTGTTTTGGGTTTTTTTTACCTTTTCATTTCTTGACTGCAGCTACCATAAGTGTTGATTGCCGATCTAAGTAGGATAAAATAATTGACAATTTTTATCTTTTCTCCATCTATTAATTACTATGTTGCCTATTGGTCCACTGGTGAGAATGTTAGCTTTCTTGATGCTGTGATGTAATCCATATTGAAATCTGTTGTCTTTGATCATCTGCAACAGTGTTTCAAAGTCCCCTTCACATTCAGCAAGCAAAATTGTATCATCTGAATAATACAGATAGTTGATGAGTCTTCCTCTGATCCTTGCAGAAGACTCACTGTTTGAAGCCTAACTATATACTTAGAACACTATGTTCTGGATTCTTTCCTATAGACTAGTGAAGTGTCCTTGTTATTGTCAAGTTCATTTCACAGAAGGGGAAATCGAGGTTCAGAAATCTAATTCTTTTTTTTTAATTGTTATTTTATTATTTTGTGTGTGTGACTGGTATAGGAGGAGATTGCCCCTCCTTCTCCAGCAGAGCATCTGGTGGATTCAAACCACATACCTTTGGGATTGCAGTGCAGCCACCGGAGCTCCCTAGAAATCTAATTCTTACACAAAGTCACCTCATCACACAAATGGGGGAGGTGGACCCAGTTGTCTGAAAAATATTGGTTAAATGACTCAAGGGTGGATGTTAATGGCAAGTGGTGAATGGAATCTCATCTCAGATCTGTTCCCACTTGCGGGGCAGGGGCTGTGTAATGAATGCTCCCATTTTACAGCTAAAAACTGAGGTGGTGCTGGGAGAGCAAAGCAGGCCAGGAGACAGGAGGAGGGCAGCGGACTGCTGCCCCATGTGAGCTCCCCTGGCATCCCTACCACCCCCAGTTCCAGGAGGTGTCTGAGCTGGTGGCGCGCTTTGATGGCCTGGCCAACACCCTGGTGGCGCAGAGACGCACGGAGCGCGACCAGCGGGCGGAGCTGGAGGCGGCACGGGCGCGGCTGCAGCAGCTGCGGAACACCTGGCAGGACGAGGTGCTCCAGCGAGCACAGGAGTGCGCGCAGCTGCAGGAGCGCCTGGAGGAGGCCCGCGAACGCAGGCTGCGCTGGGTAGGGGATGCGCTGGGAAAGGCTGCGCTGGGGAGGTGCTGCGCGGGGTAGGGAATACACTGGGTATGGTCTCCAGGGGGCGGTGGGGGTCCCAAAGCCTCGCTCTGAACGAGCAAGTGCCAGGGGTGATGAGGGCTGAGCGAAATGCTCACCAAAGAGGGCAGCACATGGGATACAGAGGGTCGGTCCTCCCCAAAACCCGATGGCACACCTGCCCTTGACTGGGGGGTAGTGGATGCGGACAAGGTGAGAGATCT